ACTTACCTTACCTTAGGTGGTTAACTCCCAGGCTGGTTACTGCCTGGATGCGGGCAACGACAGGCATTGGCGGAGAAGAACGAATCCCAACCTCTTGGGCCTTCCTCCCTCCGCCCGCCTTTAGCGCCGCCATAATTCGGGGCGGAACGTTCGTGACGCTGACTTCGTTCGCTTTCTTAGTTAGCTGGTAGCTACGTAGGTAGTGTTTGGGTTTGACTTTTTTTTTTTTTCTGTGAGCCGACTTTTGGTTTTGGGGCATGTAGGAACGGCGCCTGACCAATGGTCATCCTTGGTTCGGAACAAACGCTTCCTTCGTAGAACAAATGGAAGAAACTCTGCCAATAGCCGTAGGTAGTCTAGGGTAAAGGGTCAACAAGGCATCATCTAAGTTGACTCCCGTACGACCATCGGGTACCAGCTTACTGACCTATCTTTCTTTTACTCCCTAGACTGGGTATTATTGCCTATTGTTTCTCCGTGGGTATAGTCATTGACGTCTTGATCCGGGGACTCTACCCGGAACAGCTGCCGGGGGCTAGAATGACGTCAGAAATTCCGGACGTGCCTCAGTCAGATTGCAGTGCTACTTCGCCTCAACGGTCGAGGGGCGACATAGTTAAGGTACTAGCTGGCTAACTAATGTTTTGAATTGTCGAAACAATGGAAGGGGGGAAGGGAAAGGAAAGAGGAGACCGCCGTCGTTCGATCCTTCCCCATTGTATGTATCTTTGCAGCAGTATTAATTTCATAATTCCGTACTTGCTTAATTAGTTGACTTTCCAGATTGGCCCTTCAGGATCCAGAAATTGACGGGCTTCTGTTTCCCCGGCGGGAGTGAGAAACAACGGTTAATTCAACCCGAAGCGCGGAAAAGAGAAAACAAAACCGAAATAGAGTTTGGGGTGCAGCACCAGGGACAGGCGAGAGTCCGCGACGCTATCGTTATTTGCTGCGCCCGCTGCTTGCCCTCCTTCTCCTCCTCACTTCGATCCTTTCTTCCAGAGTGAAGCCATCCAACCCTTTCTTGCCCCGTACCGCCGTTACCATACGGGGCTGGGCACCTAAACACCTCTCTTTTCATACTGTATACACGGTGTAGTTGTGGTAAAAGTTCCGGGAGGTGTTCACTCAGAATCAAATGCCAATCATCATCATCAGTCCGATTGATCATCTTCATGTTACCCTGGCTCTGTTATGTCTCAGCCGGGGAAGTTTTTTTTTGGTTCCTCCCACGGCCAGGAACAGCTTAACTAGATAAAGTATTAGGCTTATTGTCCGGACAGGTACGGCTACCCACCCACCTCCCTTACCTTACCTTCCGTCCTACCTCAACCTTCAAATCAAATCAAATCAAATCACATCAATTCGATCCCAAAATTCAGAATTCAAAATTCAAAAAAGGACCTTGGTATGTTACCACTTACCACTTACCACTTACCACTTACCATTTCACTCTTAGCTCTTACCTACCAGCTGGTATTCCGTACGAATGTTCCTCCCTTTTTGACAGGGTGATCCCGCTAGACGTCAATCAATTTTTCTTTCCGATCAACCCGTTTTCGGCCCACATGAGGCGGGCAACCAAAAGAATAGTGTTGTTTCTCACCGTACGGGAGTAAGGGTTGCTGACTTGCTGCTCGACTGCTCACCTCTATTAATTGCCTCCATCCCACAGGTATCAATGACCCACTTCTACTCGATGGTGATGAGCCGATGACTCTGTTTTGGCTATCCTGTTGCTAACTTGCTAATTACTTGCCTACCCAAACCCCCTCTTCTTTTCTTTTTTTTTTTTTTTTTCCTGGTTGGGCGCCGGGTCATCTTACTACCTATCTACGAGTAACTACTTCCTTCGCTTGGCCCGGTTTAACGAATATCACTTCTCCTGCCCATCAGTGGCTGTATGTACGTGCATAAGGAATACACCGCATATTATCACCAACTTAATCCCGCCCTCTCCCTCCCGCCCTCTCTTCCCCCGTCTTTCACTGTGCCCGCGTCTCCTGAAATTTATTATTTCCAAACCAGTAATTTTTTTTCATGTTCTTTCGGTTCTGTTACTGTATCTTATGATTTTTAATTCTCTCTTCCGATCTGAATAATCACCCCATTATAGTTAGATCGTTGTTGCAATTCTGCTGGGTAGATACCTGTCAGAAAGTGATGGTTCGGTCGTCATTAGCCATTGTCTTCCATTTGTTTGTTCCCCCCATTTGCTCTTGTCTACCGAATGGATACATCTTTGCAATTCCGGAAATCGATCTCCTTTTTACCTGTCCTATTGAACTATCAATTAATCAACAGAAACGAGTGGGAACCCGCTAAGATTTCTAGAACTTCTGCCACTGTGGACCAGAATCCTTGGGCGATAGACTATCCGAAGCATCTGTAAAGAAGGAATACCGTACATATGTACTCCGTACTCTGTAGCCGCTGGGACACACCAGCTGAGGGATCCATAATCCAGCCGGATAACATTGCCAGTAGTTTCCATCCTTCCTCCCCTTTCCTGATTGTTGGGGGCGGGACACGACAGAGAGAAAGTGGGCTTGGGGGTGGGTGGACTGTTAGATCTATCATCTCACTAAGGTCGCACTAAACCAGACTTCTGGAAAGCCGATCATCCTTACCTTATGGGCCTATTTAGCGCGCTTCTAGATACACAACTTCCTCTGTTCCCCGGAGCCCGGGGCTCAGGTCTTATGGGTCTACCGGTCAATCTGCGGCGGCGGCTCTGTAACTGGGGCTCCTCTCTCTTTCTTTCTCTTCCTCTCGCACTTTTTTTTTTCTTTCCCGCCTTTTCATTTCTGATCTAATTCTTTATTATTTAATGATTTTATTTGTTTTTTCCCGGTCCCGCGGTGCACCTCACATGGGTACATGAAAGGGGGCCGAAGGAGAAGTGGTCTGACAAGCAGTCTGTCGATTGATACATTTTCGACCTGAAATCTGATCTTCCCATTAGGCCGATTTTATTTGAATTGTTGGAAAATAATTGTCATTAGCAGTTAGCATTATTAGTTATCTTTATCACTGTTAGTTGGGGAAAATTAGGTGGGATTTCGGTTTTTTGACTTTGACTTTTTTTTTTTTTTTGTTTTTGATTTTTCAAATTTTTCAAATATAATTTTTTTTATATTTTTTTTGGTCCTGTAAGAAATCCAAAGACATACCGCTCTTATGCGGATGGGTATTCGGACTGTTTTTCATTTTTTCCCTTCCATACAGCAGGTATGTAAGAACGGTATTGGTCTGCCTTGGATGGATGGATGTATGTATGTGCCTACCCAGGTAACCTACCTAAAAAATGATGTATGGAGTGGTTTGGTGACTGTTCCTTCTGCTCTGCTATTGGCTCCACCCCCTTTCAGGTTCTCTTTTTTTTTTAATTCTTTTTTAAATCATTTTTCCCTGTGTCGCTCTTCCCTGGCGCTCCCTTCCGTCGTACTTAGTAGGAGAGTGGAAGTGGCCCGGACGGCCCAGTCGGATAGCCCCGATCCATACCAGTGTCGTTCACTTTGCGTATGCCGGTCTACTAGGCACTCCGTACGAATCTGTCTGCTAAGAAAATAAATAAATAAAAAATGACGATTAAAAATTAAAATAAATCGAAAATCAAAATGGAATAAATCGAAACCCAAATAATAAATAATAAATGATTATTTTAAATCATCATCATCACCGGATGTGGATCCTGTTACTCCTCGACGACTGTTTGCTGTCTGCATCCTGCACCATCTTGTACAGCTGTAACCGAAATGGGCTCCATTATTGTCGTCCCAGATGTTGAACCGTTGATGCTTTTAGTCTTTGGCCTGATCACATATCCAGTCTACTATCCACTTCAAATACTTCCTTTAATTCCCCTTCCCGTCCGGATCTCCTTTCTCCTTCCCTTTTCTAACTTTTCAAATTCCTCAAACTCTTCGTTCCATTCTGCTTCACTGCAACCTTCTTGCTTTTCTTCCGGTCCCTCCTTCCATCTTCCCATCACCACTACTACCCTTAAACTATACCGATCCTGTTCCGGTCTACTTCGGTCCATCTCAACCTCACCTCTTCCTGACTACTCCTTTCTGACCTGATTCAATTGCCTCCCGATCTTCCATTCACTACTGCCATTCTCTTGCGCCGACTTTCCTTTGGTGTTGCTCAACCTCTTATTACCCGGGTTTAAGATTTGTTGATCCGATTCCCTTGCAGTCGCCGTTTTCGGGACCAGAAACCCAAAGCGAACCAAAGAAGGGGGCAAAGTACGATTGGACCATCTTTTTTTCTTTATTCCAAAGAAAGATCTCTTGAGGTCAACCGTCAACAGGGGGGGAAGAAATGCGGCAGCCCCTTTGAAAAGAAAAGAAAAAAACAAAATAACGTCCTTCCTTCAATATAACGAACGATCTTATCACTACATTCCCTCCCTACTACAGGATTAACGGAGAATTCGCAACTGAGCCGACACATTCTTTTTGACGCACGCCCTCAATTGCCATCTTCCCGGAAGTGGTCTTCTTTTTTTTTTATTACTTGAGGAAGGCGAAGAAACCAATTCAAAAGACCTTTGGACCCGTCGACTTCGCGAGATTGTTCACATCGACAATATGTTCAAACGACCGGCATGTATTCAAGGCCGCCGGCATAACGATGACGGTGGTGATTGGTCCGCTTTTCCCATCCGCCAACTCTTTGTACTGGGTATGTTTTGAAATTCTTTGCGTGCAAGGTCATAAATTTTTTTTGGACTGCATAGTGTGTGCGCGCAGAAGATTTGTTTGCCATTTTTTCTTTTCTTTTTTGATCTTTTGCCCTTCCGTCCCCCCCCTGCACTTTGCCCGCTTGTCGCAATTCCACGGACCCCTTTCTTGCCCTTTTCCTGTCGCATTTTTGACCGCTCTTCTGCGTTGCATACCGTTGAATTAGCATGGAGACTGACAGTTTGACAAGCATTATGCCGCATTTGCGAGCCAATTGCGTTCATGTCCATCTTCCCCTACGTCTATCAAATGGTCGAATCGTTCCACGTGACCGATAACGACCAGAAAATTGCCCTCTATGCGGGGATGATTACATCTGCATTTACATTTGCGGAGTTCTCAGCGGGCATGTTCTGGGGTCGAATGAGCGACAAGATTGGTAGGAAACCGGTCTTGGTCATGGGTCTGATTGGAACCGCCATCAGTATGATTGTATTCGGATTCGCTCCCAACCTGCCAGTCGCGATGGTTGCCCGAGCCCTAGGGGGTCTGCTGAATGGAAACATCGGCGTTCTCCAGACCACCGTGGCGGAGATTGTGACCGTCAAAGAACACCAGCCCCGAGCTTACTCGATTATGCCATTTGTCTGGTGCTTAGGATCGATCATCGGACCCGCCATGGGTGGTGCGCTGGCACAGCCCTGCGACAACTATCCCTGGTTATTCCAGCGCGGTACCATCTTTGATAGCTTCCCATTTCTGCTGCCCAACGTGGTCTGCGTTGTCATCCTCGTCTTCGGAGTCGTCGTTGGTTTGTTGTTTCTGGAGGAGACCCATCCCGAGAAGAAATATCGCCGTGACCCCGGGTTGGAATTGGGCCATTGGCTGGTCGGTAAATGCTCAGGATCGCGTGTCCAGCTTTCCGAGGACACGGACGTCAAGACGGATTTAACCGGAACGGATTACTTCGATCTCCCTCCGCCGGAATACAGAAGCACCGAATCTTCGCCTCGTTTGGGTCCGGTGAAAGAGTCGGATTCTTTGTCCGACAATGACGACATTGAAGGACAGAAGGAGACGCCAAAAGCGTTTACGAAGCAGGTCATTTTCAATATCATCGCCTACGGAGTTCTCGCATAGTACGCTTCATCTCCTTTCCCTCCCCCTTGCGTAATTGAGGGATTTGAACACTGACATCACCTCCAGCCATAGCGTTTCGTTCGACCAGCTGATGCCCGTCTTCCTGAGCACCCCGAAATCCGACGAGGAGGTCGTACTTCCCTTCAAGTTCACGGGAGGTTTAGGAATGGCCACCAAGACGATCGGTTTTATGCTGGCGGTGCAGGGCGTCTACTCCATGATCGCGCAGCTTTGGCTGTTCCCCTTCGTCGTTCGACACTTTGGCACCCTGCGCACCTTTCGCTTCGTTCTGCTTGTCTGGCCACCCCTCTACCTGCTGGTTCCCTATCTCATTCTCCTGCCCGAGGCGCTCCAGACGACCGCCGTGTACGTTGCCCTGATCTGCAAGATTACTGTCCATGTCATCGCATTCCCCGCTACCGCCATCCTGCTTGCCAACGCCGCTCCTTCCTCCAAAGTCCTGGGCTCCATCAACGGCGCCGCCGCCTCGACGGCTAGTCTGAGCCGCGCCTTCGGCCCAACCGTGACGGGTCTGCTTCACTCGAAAGGCTTGGAGAGTGGATACTCGGTTATCGCGTGGTGGGCGTGCGGCCTGGTGTGCATCATCGGAGCCATCGAAAGTTTCTGGATGGAAGAGAGCGAGGGGCGCAAGGATGCCGAGAAAGAACCCGCGGGGCCCTTGAATGTGGGCAGGAATGGCCTGCAGGGTTCTTTCACAGCTGGTAAAGAAGATGCCACCGCAGAAGAGGTGCGGAGATTGCTCTCTTCGGCGCGGACCAGTGTCGATGACGCTGAAATCCCCAACGTGGATTTGACCCCAGCCACGCTCAAACCCGTGCATGAGTGATTTGGCAATTTGACCCTCATGTCATTGCCACTCTCACCATATTCGACCTCTTTTTTTTTTCGTTTCCCGCTCTTATTCTTACTCTTATTCTTTTTACATTTTTTTTCTTGCATTGCATTGCATCCCTTTCTCTTTTCCGTTTCCCTCCGGATCCCCGCTCTCCATTTCGTCGATCTTATGCCAGTTTTTTTTTCTCGCATCTTCCGCATTTCCATCTTCCGCCAATTCATTTCTATTTTTGACCCTTCTATGCATTTGTCTCTTGACAAGGGTGGATTTTCCTGTGGATTGGGGTTGTTTACTGTTTATTTCTCGCAATGTTTTAGATCATGATTCAAGATTGGGTGAAGGCGCAGTTTGTTAGACTGGATGCATATTCAAAAAGAAGCATGAGGGCCGGACGTCTTTTTCTTTTCTGTTCATCTGGGATTTCATCAGGGGCATGGCTGGGCACGCTTGATTTTTACTTTCTTCATATGCATCTGGGAGGTTCTTTGTCATTATCATTATATCCAACTCGTTTGAGAGCGAATATCATTTGGGGGAAGGCCGAGGTGACTTCATCGTCGCGCCTTCTCATCTTATCACTATATACATTTTTACCCACTCGAACATGACTTGCGCGGAAATCATAGACCCCCTCCTCCAACGACGGGGCTGACGGGACCACTTACATCCCCCGCATGCCACCTGGGAAGAGGATGGATACCTGTCAGTGCCACAGAGCCAAGCCTTACTTGACATGCATGCCACTTGGTGCTCTTTCACGTCATCGAATAGTGCGGGGTCTGAATCGAACCAGGGGGGTTTCAGACCCCCTTGTGTTGTCGGCGAGGGAGCCCAGCCCTGCTGTAGGGAGTGTAGTTCTGGAGAGTGAGAGGATCGTAGCACTTGGAGGTATCGAAGGGGAACTGCCCGGACGAAGGGGGTTCCTTCCAGAAGCTGGAGCGAGCTGGAAGAGGAAAGAACGACCCCACGCAGTCCTGCTGACTAACGCAGCCTGCTTATCAGCGGCCAATCACGTGCCAAAAGTACGGTATTGTACCGCCGGAGTGTTTGGGCTGTTTGCCTCAGCCAACATCCATGGATGCACCTGCTCCCTCACACTGCTCCTAGGCAGGCAGTAAATAGACACACTTTCTACAACAACCTTCTCAATCCCCTCAAGACCTATGTGCTCAAGGGGCAAGTTGGCCCCAGTACTAATGGTTGCACCATGCTCTAGTCCTCGGCACTTGAGCTCGCTTCTTCATCCAACCTAACTTACGCTGCCCATACAGCTCTTTGTTACTAGTCCACGAACTAAATTGCCTAGGTACCGGTTTCCCCAAGTGTCAGTCTGGGCTCTACCAATTTGTCCCATCCGAACTCCCATGCTTCGCAATTTTTCTTCAATCGTCTTGCATCGCGCCGCCTTGGTCCTGCCGTGCCGTTGAGATCACAGTGGTGGTGGCAGACCCTTTCCGACATGGGCTGCGATTGTGCCCTGCCCTCCAGACCCCATTCGCCTCTCGACCCGACTATCATCTCGGAGACTAAGAAAGCCCGCGGATAGGGATACCACCTAGAAGTGAGGAGTTCCGTTGGTTTCCCGTCAGTCGTCCTCCTGCTGTCGAAGCGAGAAAACTCCTCGACCGCGCCGACAGGCCGACTCAACTACAACGCCAGCCCAGCGCATGACTTAATATGAATGCTGGTTCGTCTCTGGGTCCTCGGTATTCGGCCTCCTCCCCGCTTCATTTGGCTCGCTGCAACGGTTCTCCCTCCTCGGGGCGTCGTCGCATGTGTGCGCTTCCTGTCTAGGTACTGTTCCCATCATGCTGAACCCTGCGTCCCCGGTTTCGCCAACCTCCGTAGGGAGGAAACGACCGCACCCGCCTGCGGAGCCCGCTCCGACCCTGCCGGACACGTCGGCGCAACCGCTGCGCTCCTCCCGCGACGCACCTATGAATCGCCCGCTCGCGCCCTCCTCCGCATCGAATTCTTCGTTCCGCAATGTCTCCGCGTGTAACCGCTGCCGACTACGCAAGAACCGTTGCGATCAACGGCTGCCCCGATGTCAGTCATGCGAGAAGGCTGGTGTGCGCTGTGTTGGCTATGACCCTATTACAAAACGAGAGATCCCACGGAGCTATGTGTATTTCCTCGAGACCCGCGTGGCATATCTAGAGAAACTGTTGATGGACAAACAAATTGAATTCAAAGACCCGGTAGCCTTTGACGAAGAGGATGCTATCAAAGTGGAAGCCGGTCTCGATCCTGCCCAGACTCAAGTAGTTAGCGCGGAGATGTCGACAAGCGTCGAAATTCCGACCGCTGACACAACAAACGGGAGAGTGACGCAAGTGAAAGGGGAGAAGCAGAGGCTGGTTTCGCGACCCGATGGGAACCCGGAGAATGAGCACGATCCGGAGGCCAATCGAGATCACGAACGCGAAGACAACTGGCGGATACACAACCTCGTGTCGAATATTGGCATGGTCTCGGTCCAAGGCACGTCGGATCCTCGATATTTGGGTTCCACGTCGGGTATCTCCTTTGCGCGAGTCGTGTTCGCTGCGGTGAAAAGCTCCGTCGCAGGCAATGGATCGGACCGTGGCCCCATGCGGCCTCATGAGCGGTTACCCCATAGCGCTACCGGAACGGCGGGAAGTACCATGCGAGATTCCTTTTTTGGTCTCCAGACGAGGCCGATGATGAAATGTGCAACGTTCCCGGACCGCGAGCTGGCCGAACGCTTGGCCCATCTGTATTTCGAGCATGCAAACCCCCAAATGCCCATTCTCCACCGCGCCGATTTCATGGATCTCCTGGACCGTACTTACGCGGTCGACGAGAAAAGCCGTTCCCCTCGCAGCCTTTATATCCTTAACATCGTATTCGCCATTGGCGCCGGCATCATATTTGAAGATAAAGCATCAAATGAGGATAAATCTGAAGGCCATGTTCAATCGCCCACCTTGTCCTCTGCCAAGAGGCCGCGGTTGTCAAACCATCAATGTCAACCGGAAGAATATCATGCCTCGGCCATCATTCACCTGGAATCTTTCCTGGGGGCGTCGTCGTCAGGTGATGGTTTTGGTGCGCTAGAGGAGCTGCAGGCAGTGCTGTTGCTCGCTAGTTTCGCCTTGTTGCGGCCTGTGGCTCCGGGGCTTTGGTACATCGTCGGGGTCGCCATGCGGCTGGCTGTCGATCTTGGTCTCCATTATGAGGACGGCGCCGGCATTGATTCGCATGGCGATGAAAGTTTGAATCGCTCGCATAGCAAAGGCGAAGATAGCACAAAGGCGCGCATCGATAACCGCGAGCGTGGACGCCGAGAGTGGGTTCGCGATCTCCGTCGCCGGCTGTGGTGGTGTGTATATAGCTTTGACCGTTTGGTCAGCTGTTGCGTGGGCCGCCCCTTCGGAATCAGTGATCAGGCCATCAGCACCGAGTTCCCGTCACTGTTGGAGGACTCATATATCACCAAGTCCGGGATTCTGGCACCCCCGGAAGGTGCTCCAAGTTACAAGCATGCGGCACATCATTATTTCAAGCTGAGGGTGCTACAGTCCGAGATCCAGGACGTGCTACAGCATCAACAAGCCCGATTTGCTAGACAAAAGGCTCCCTATGCCGCAAGGCGATTCATGCGCTCGGACCTTTCGTCTCCCTTTCTACAAGGCTTCGACTCTTTCCGTTCGTGGCGGAAAGATGTCCACCGGCGATTAGCAGAGTGGCAACAGAGCGCGCCCACTCGACGTGAAACGGGCGTGCAGTTCTCCGTCGAATTCCTCGAACTGAATTACTGGCAAGCAGTCATCATGCTGTATCAACAAAGCCTCACGGTCCCCGCGGAGCTGGCGGAAGAAATGACACCGGCCGAAGACGTATCTAGTCCGTCATTCTCTAACGTGGATGAGGTCGAGGATGAAGATGATATTTACTACAAGGTCGCTGAAGCCGGTCAGAAAGTCATTCGGATATACCGTCAAATGCATCGCGTGCGATTGGTGAATTACACCTACTTAGCCACCCATCATATCTTTATGGCAGGCATCTCATTCTTGTATGCGATCTGGCATTCTCCCTTGGTCCGAAGCCGTTTGGTAGGTTCCCCTGTAGCCCCGCTGCAGATCAGTCCGGGCTCAAGCTAACTAGAACGATTAGACCCTTGATGAGGTGGATTTTACAGTGCTTGCTGCCACGTCCGTGCTGGGAGATTTGATGTATAAGTGCCCGCCCGCAGAATCATGTCGAGATGCTTTTGAGCGGATGAGTAAAGCGACCGTGCAAATGTGCCTGTCAACCACCGGGTTTGGTTCCCAGGTAGATTTGACTCGCATACAGACCAATCCATCGTCTTCAAATGGCCCGTACAATAACCGATCCAGACAGCATGCGCGATATACTATGGATCAGAGACAGGGACCGTCTCATGGGCCCGTGCGACGATCAACGCAGACGCGCCAGTCCCGTCCATTGCCGAGGTTTGACATGAATCTGGGGGATCTGTTTAATGACAACAATTCCGTTTCGGATCGTCAACCCGGTGGCTCGCGCAAGCCGGTACAGGCATATGGCCGATCGGAATACTCCGAAGCGTCATCGTCGAACTTTACTCCCAGTCGAGCTACTCGACCGCCGCCTCAGCAGTCTCCCCCCATAGAGTTTTATGGTAACTACGAGAGCCCCGTCTCACCGCAGCAACAGCAACAGCAGCAGCAGCAGCAATATTTCTTCACAAACTCTCCGCAGCCAAGCGCATCACCTAGCAGCGTTGTTGCTCACTCCGGCCACCAACCGTCACAAGCTATGGACCCAGAACACCAATCCGGGATCAGCCTAGACTTCTTGGAATTTGATCCTGCGGGGGCCGAAGGACAAGCTCACTTTGGTTCAGACGAAATGTCGGAATACAATCTGCAGGCAATGCCCTCATTGGGACACGGCGTAGGCCATAGCGTCGGGATTGACCTCGGGTTTGGCATGGCGGTCGACTTCCAACATGATTGGAGCGAAAACCCCAATCTCGACATTTTAGAAGGCTATTTCTTCGGTGGATCGGGCGCCGGTCCATCTGGGGATGCCCAGTAGGGCGATCATTGACAGGTGGGGGTGGTGCTTGGATTGACATCTCTAGTGGTCGCTGGGCTGTTGGGCAGAGACCCTTTTTCTTAGCACCTCGTTTTTCTTATTCTCTTATTTGCCCTTGGCCTTCGTGCGTTCTGGGTTTCTCAAAAGGATGGATGAAATGATTCGACGAATTTTCTAGTTTCCTTCCATTTCTTTCGCTATGATCTGATACTTATTTTGGACTTTTTATTTTGGACTCGGTGCCCCTTGTTTATGAAGGCCGAGAGTATTTGGAAGGTACCTCTTCATGTTGATATAAGTATGCATAGTATGTACCTGCTTTTTTACATGCTAGCGGATATACTTGCTTTTGTTTGTTTGTTTGTTTGTCGTTGCTACGATGCTTGTTTTGGATATCCGAGCTGTTGCGGCTCATGAAACGCGCAATTCGAGAAGACAATTTCACTATGATTATTTTTTCCAGATCGACAACTCTGCGTAGACTCATCACGACGCTCAGTGCCTTGCTTGGATATCCAAGAGCGAAGGTGAGGCCCGGATTCATTGGGCAGCAAATCGGCCCTTGAGTTGTTCCCGCAACCGCCAAAACAAAAAGAAAAACCTCCGGGATGAAACCCATCTTTGATCTGGCGCAGGCCAGCGCACCCTGTCTTGGCTGTCGATAACCGCAGTTCTCTCGCTCGTTTCTTTTTCTTTTTATCTTATTATTTTTTTCTTCGCTGATTTCGACCCTCCTTCGTATCTGCCAGTCTCTGGAGAGTCTCGCGTGAGATAAAAAGGTCCGATCAACTCTCGCTGCGCCTGGAAGCTCGCTGCCTTCTTCAATTCAGCTACGGCCTTGCTTTCGATCCTACAAATTCTCGAGATACCTTCTCCCCCTGTCTCCCTGCGTACCATCCTCGGGTATATACCTGCGTTCGACGTGTCCTACAATACCGCCCTTTGTTCCGTTCGTCAGAGCCCCTCGGTTGGGAAGATCATGTTCTTTTCTCGTGCCTTCAGCCAGATCGCCCTTTGCCCCCAGGGTTGTTAAGCAATACTCCGCGCAGCCAGTCTTCGATAGATGAGACAATAAATACGCGGTTCGATACTTTAGCAGGTGTTCTGGAAGCTATCTCTGGGTCTCGTTCACCCCCCCACGGACTAAATCCGAAACCGCAGATAATTCTTACCGCTTTGTCGACGTATCCCATCGTCGTCGGTTGGTCGTTCGTTCAGCTCAAGGTGTTTGTTTAACCTCACGCTGTTGGAGCTTTTTCCAATTTGGGTCGCTCGGTCTTCCTTCTTTCGATCACATCGTCCTCCGAACCCCGCCATTGTGTCTTCTAGGTTTCCTGTGGCAGGTCATGTGGGAGACGACTAGAAAGTGGTGCGACTATAGTGTGACATCTTCCTTCGGCAATCGACCGGAGCCCCCTGGCTACGGTTCTCTCGCAATATGGTGAAAACAGATGTGCGGAGGGATTACTATGCGGACTTGGCTTTGACGCCGAGCGCCGAGTCGGAGGATATAAAGAAGCAGTTCCGAAAGCTAGGTAAGGCGATTTTGATAAGACTGGGCCGCACGAGCTCTTGTTGACGTCTGTTTTTAGCACTCAAATATCACCCCGATAGGAACCCAGGCCGGGAGTTGGAATTTATATCGAAGTTCCAGGCCATTCAGGCCGCCCACGAAATCCTCAGCGACCCGCAACAACGGTTGAAATATGACACGGATCGGTTACGCGCTGGGTATGGAAAGCTTTACGGGCCACCGAAACCCAGTGCCGCAAGGAAAACTGCCACGAGTAACTTCACCTCGACGCCTTCACCGAAGCCTCCGACTGCGAAACAGCCCTTCTCTGCGCGACCCCAATCGTACCACAGTGGTCCGTCCTCCGGCGCGCAGCGGTATGCTAGTTATGCTCGCGCGGCACCCAAGCAGCCTTGGGAGAAGACAAAGGATGAGGGACAGACCCGTGCTGACGCCTACCGTGGGTTCCAAGAAATGAAGGGCAATGGTATGCCGGGATGGAACCAATTTGACCCTCGTACCGGACGATCGGCGTTTCCGGGGGCTACGCCTCGACCTACTGCAGCTTCTGGGGGCCAGCAACGACCCAAATCCGCCTACGAGTATTTCAAAACGCCCCCGAAACCCTCGACCCCGGACCCTTCGCGTGCGCAATCCGCTCGGAAGAAGCAGGGTTTCGCCCCGCGAGCGGCCGCCGGTGGTGATGAACCCATGGCCTCCAGCACGGCCTCCTACTCTAACGCGTATCGCGGCGAGCGTTCGCACACCCCTAATGTCTTCGGGACTGCCCCGTCTCCGACAGCCAGGAAAGCAGCCGCCGGATTCTCCAGTCGCGCAGACACCCTGCGTACCCCGGAATTCGAGCGCGCTAGTAGACAATATTCTAGTACGGGAGGCGAGCGGACTGTCTTTTCGAGTACGGGCTTCGGGCGGTCTTCGAGTGTTCGCGAATCAACTGGAAGTCCTAAACCATATTCGCGGACGAATCCCCCCAGCCCGACACCGCCTGAGTCAGGCAGGCATCGGAGTGCTAGCCCCAAGTTCAAAACGGACACATCCCGCAATTACTCGTCTACGAGCTCGAGTGAGACCGACGATGACGATATATTCCCTGCGCACAAACCCAAGGCGGTTCCAAAGAGCAGGCTTCGTCCTCATCAGAAATTCTCTGGTTTCCATACGCAGCAGCCAGGGGGTGCTGCCAATAGTGAGTAATTCCTTTAGGTGCCAGGATTATAGCAAAACTGACAAAACCACCCTTTGACAGTCCATGAATTCGATGGTACAGCACCACCGGGAAATGTGTTCGGTGCTCGAGCCCAAACACCTTTCGAATCGTATGACGAACCTGTGTACCCTCCGACAATGGCCTGGAAATACTGGTAGCTAACTATCTTGTGCAGCACTCCAGGACCCAAAACCGACAATATACCACCTACTGGAACTTTCAAAAGCAGCAGCCATGACGATCTCAGGAAGCCCTTCTCCGCAGATAGCTGGGGAGGCTTCGATTTCTTCAAACCAACACCACCCGGTCAAGAACCCGCTCAGTCCCCAACCAGGCTCGACAGTCGAGGACGGACCGAAACCAGGAACAGCCCTAAACCGGGGAGTGATTCGGCAGCAGGAGCATCATCCACTCACGAATCATCCCGTTCAGGATCTACCAGCCAGCAGAAATACCCTCCTTTCCCGGAGGGCAAGTTCCATGCGGACGACTGGGCCCGGAAATTCAGTGACAGTGGTTGGGCCATGCCAAAGGATGACGAATCTAAGAACCCACAGCAAGCTGCGAATGCTCAGCGCCAGAAGAGCCCGAGGAAACAAAATGCTCGCCCGGGAGCTAAAGTACGGCCAACACCGCAGCCGGCTACCGTCGCTACGGAGGCCGAAGAGGCCGAATCCACCGTTAATGAAAGCGACAAGCCGGAAACTCCAAAGACTGGATCCGGACCGGATGATGTCGAGGCTATGGATCTTGATGATGAACTTCCTGCGAACACGGCCCCGCCCACGGGTGCGGGTACAGATACAAATGTAGAGCCGGGACCAGCCAAGGGTGCTGGAAAAGAAAACCCTTCGCAGACCCAGCCGGCTTCGAGTAAGATGGAGAATTCAACAGAGAGCAAACTCTTCAACCTGGATGGACTACGTGAAGCAGCGCCGTTCACCTCTACGAGTAATGGAGGCATTGATGATCTGCAAGACATCCACGCCAGTCTACCGTTCGAATCCCGTGCCAAAGCCTCCAAAACAACGATGAATGACATCCGTGTTCCCAAGCTCGTGTTGCCCAATCCCCCGAAACGCCCGCAGCCGCCGGCGCTGGTGCCCATGAGTCTAGGATCCGAGCGACTCGGGCTTTCGCGTGCTGCTTGGGACCGACACCTCTATGAGATGGAAGTCTATATGCGACGGTGGAGCGCTTTCAACAAGGAAATGCTTCATCATTTCGTCGCGCGCCAGGAGACTCTCGACACGGGAATGGCTCCACACTGGTTGGGTGCTGTGGGCGACTCGGCCGGTGTGAAAGTCAGCAATGGGGATGGCCAGTATGACTCTAAGGAGGCGCAGGAGGAAGACGAAGATGACACCAAGGTCCCCCAAAGCAGCAAATGTGGATTCAACGGTTACGTCCGCTCGCTCGAGCAGGATAGGCAGGCCCAAAAGCACTGGGAAGTGGCGAGGGAGATGCACATGGAATGCATCATCGCGCACGGACAGCTGCGAGATTCGCTTCTGAACGGTAGTCGGCTTTTTTGAGGAACACTCAGTCCGTCAATCAGTCAAGATCGATTGATCAAACTCGTTTCTTTTATTGCATGGAATGGGCGTTTTCTGGGAGGGACTTCAAGGATCCACAGGACCGGACGAGATACAACGCCCGGGAAACATAAAAAGGAGGCACGAGTGTCTTTTGTACCATAGATTCATTCTCACTACGTATCTAGTTACCTTATCCTTTTTTAATCCGTCCTTTGCGCATCCTCGTCCGTATGTTCGTGACCGTCAACGACCCTAACCCCAAGCCCCAAGCCCTAGTCCGTCCGATCGCGGAGCCCTCCGCCTTAGGCCGCCACCTGCCCAATGCGGGCGCGACCCCGCCAAGTCGACAGCGTGACCGGACCAGACGGTAAGAAAGCCGTGGGCAGCGCTGTCAGTGGCCCTGACCCAGGGAAATTCCGTACGGTACGGTCACAGCATTACCAGCCCGCCTAACCGGGGAGGGGCTGAGTCACCGCGGGAGTCGACGGGCATATATGACTTTGGCTCTGCGCAGGTTTCCCCTCCGTTTCTTTTCCCGCTTTTGGATCTTTGACGGTCGCGAACTTTTCGCAGCTGCTCCATCACCTTTTTACTCCATTCCTTGTTGGCTTTGTGCCTTGCTGTCTTGCTCAATTCCTCTTTGGATTTCTCTATCTGAAAGTTCTAGCATCTGATTGCGCACTTTTACCCCGGGATTCCAAACTTGTTTTTGAACCTCTTTGGACCCCACGTCTCAAGTCTCGGATTTCTATCCTCCTGGCTGTGGTTTACGTGCCAATTGAAGAGACTCGACCGACGACAGTCTCCTACAATCGCGAGAGATAACTTAGCTGGATCGCTGTTTCACTTACATAGCCAATATGGGTATCACAATCGTGCTGGGTAGCCAGTGGGGTGATGAAGGTGGGGACCCGGGATCCATTGGAGAATGCATCGATCATTCTGGAGATGTAATAGGGCACTAATTACGAATCAAATGGGTTATTAGGAAAGGGGAAGATCACCGATATGCTTTCGCAGGAGGCTACGCTTTGCTGCCGTGCCGCTGGCGGTCATAGTGAGTCACCTTCATTTCTATCTATCCAACCCCGCCGAGGGGTAGGGATCGACTGCGTCAACGGATACTGACTGGATTGCGCTCAGATGCGGGTCATACTATCGTTCACGGCTCGAAGACTTACGATTTCCACATCCTTCCCTCCGGCCTAGTCTCCCCCTCGTGTATCAACCTCATCGGCGCGGGAACTGTCTTCCACGTCCCCAGCTTCTTCAAGGAGTTGGCCTCTCTCGAGGAGAAGGGTCTGAAGGGTGCCAGCGAGCGCATCTTTGTCGCGGATCGTGCTCACGTCTGTCTGGACCTGCACTCTGTTGTGGATGGCCTGGAGGAGGCCAAGCTGGGTGGCCGCAAGGTTGGCACCACGGGTAAAGGTATCGGCCCTTGCTACAGTGACAAGGCTTCTCGTCGGGGTGTTCGCGTTGGCGAGATCCTGGACGAGGCTGTCTTCGAGCGCAAGCTGCGGACCCTGCACGCTGGATACACTGCCCGCTTCGGTGAGCTCGACTATAGCGTCGAGGACGAGATTGCGCGGTTCAAGGTGAGGGAGCATTTTCTTTCCCCCTATCATGTGTTGCACGAGCCGTCTTGACGGCTGATATTGACCATCCCCAGGAATACCGCACCAAGCTTGGTCCCTACATTGTCGACCAGTTGGCCTTCCTGCAGAAATACAAAGACTCTCCCAACACCCTGGTCGAAGGTGCTAACGCCCTCATGCTTGACCTGGACCACGGCACTTACCCCTACGTCACTTCCTCGTCGACCGGTCTGGGCGGTGCCGTTCAGGCCCTTTCCCTGAACCCCACCAGCATCACGTCGATCGTCGGTGTCGTGAAAGCCTACACCACCCGCGTCGGCTCCGGTCCCTTCCCCAGCGAACAACTCAACGAAGTCGGTACGAAGCTGCAGGAAGTCGGCCGTGAGTTCGGTGTCACCACCGGCCGCCGTCGCCGCTGCGGTTGGTTCGACCTGGTCCTCTGCCGCTACTCCCAGGCCATCAACCACTACACCGCCCTGAACCTGACGAAGCTGGATATCCTGGACGACTTCGACGAGATCAAGGTCGGTGTCGCCTACATCCTGCCCGACGGCACCCGCACCGAGAACACCATCCCCGCCGACGCCGACGTCCTCGACAAGGTCCAGGTGGAGTACGTCACCCTGCCCGGCTGGAAGAGCAACACCATGGGCGCCAAGAAGTACGAGGATCTGCCCCCGAACGCCCGCGCCTACATCGAGTACATCGAGCGCGGTCTCGGCGGTGTCCCTGTGAAATGGATCGGCACTGGCCCTGCTCGGGATGATATGATCGCCCGTGAGTAAATGATCAATCCTTCTTCCAAAAACTTCCTGTCGTAGAGGAGTAAGAGGAGAGAGACACAGAGAGAGAAGGAGATGGATAGAGAAGAGAAAACAACGGATTACAGTTCTTGCATACATCTTTAGAAACGGGAAGGGGAAAACGACAGGTTGGTCTCCTTCCCCCCTCTCTACTTCCCTTTCCTTTCTTCCTTTCTTCGTTCTTGATATCTTGATATCTTGATTTGATTTGAACTTTGCTTCAATCTCCTTGCTTTGATGATCCATTGAGATCTGGATCGTCAAATTTTTTTTCTTCTTATTTACTCTGTACGTTTGGTTGGATTATATGACTTCTTGACTTCTTGCTTTTTTTTCTGGTTCTTTTTGAGCTCTCTACTTGGGGGTTCTCTGCTTTTTTTTATAGAATGATCTTGCTCTCGACACTCGAGAAGATCGACGGATCTTTTTTTCTTTTTAACGATAATACCTAGGTAGTAGAAAGGTATTAGGTCGATGGGAATGGGTGGGTGGATTGGATTGGGGAGACGAATAAATAGAACATATTTCAATTTTTGGTTCATCTTTCTTTTCACTGTGTTTTTTACTTCTTTTTTTTTTCTTGAGAAATTCTCATGGGATTGACCAGGTGATGATTCTTTTCTTGTTTGTATATTTACTTTGTATCTTATTGAGTAGGTGGGTAGGTGAAGTTCAAGGCATGTCTGGACATGTTGATAGACATGTAGATAGATAAGTCATGTCATTTAGTCTTCCACTTCTTATCTTGACTCGGCTGATGTTTTTTGGTTTTCATTTTAATACCTAGTTAGTCCCATAATTGTAGAGCTACCGACGTATCGTCCTCAATCCTCAAGGCTAATACAACAGATAGATAGATACCATGTGGGATAAACATTACAATATCTCCTCTACGTACTTCCAAAATAAAGAAGAAAACCATCGATGAATACAATAACTATCTAGATAGCTAAAGTAAGTTGTGAGGGCATATACATATACATATACACATAGAAATACATACATCGAGTTGTCTGTGTCTTCGCAACCCCACAACAACAGCAACAAAATGACAACGTCAAGAACAAGTGCAGTAACATATCCGCATACATAATGACAACGAGAAAAAAAATCCAGTCCCAGTGACGCCCAGCGTAAGACAAACAATACAATGTATCTTCTTTCCCCTGGACATGGTGGATGAAGAGAGAGGACAAATATTCAAAACAAGGATAAAGTCACAGTGTTAGGTCAGTCAGGTGGGGGGGAAATTCCACCACCTTCTAGGACATTTAAAACACAGGCTCAGGTAGGTAGGTAGGTGAAAAGATCAAACGCGTCAAGAAGTAGATGGGATAAAAAAAAAGATGTCGAACCCAGAGGAGAGAGATATCCGTTGAAATCAAATCCATTTGCCAAGCAAGAGATGATTGATAGAAACGCCGCCCAATGCAAAATTGAAGATTATGATAGTTTTTGGTTTGGTTGTTCTCTGTTGTGTTTTGCTCCCTCCCTTTCTTAGGGGGTCACTTTTTGTCTTGCCGTCATTGGGGTTCGGTTCCTGTTTCCGCTCGGAATAGAAGCTCAGACGAGATACGTGCGGGATTAGAAATCGTAGAAGAACTTGTCAGGACGGCCATCGCGACGGCCACCCGGACGGCTACGGCCACCACGGTCATCGCGACGGAAATCGCGCCTGTCATCGCCACGGTTCCTCTGGCTGTGGTCAAAACGGCCTCCGCGATCACCCTGCCTTCCCGAGGGTCGGCTCAGAGAGCGTTCTCTACTCCACGAAGACGGCGACCTGCGGTGATTCGAGTTGTCACGCAATCTACCAGCGTTTTTAGGAGCCATTGGCACCTTAGGTAGTTGGTACCCATGCAATGCTAGATGTTCCATGCTCTGGGACAAGGTATGAGAGTTGGGCATACTGCCGACCAAGCTGCCAAAGCAAGCCTTCCAGGTCTCAACTCTCAAGTCTTGGGGAACGTTCTCCAAGGCCTCTTTTACTTGAGCCAAGGTCTCTTCGGCCGCGGGAGGAGCGGCTGTCGCCTCGTCGGTCATGTCAACGGATGCCGTAGCCAGCGAGTTATCCCTTTCGATTGGCAGGCTGTGCAGCCTCTGGTTAAACATCCTTAGCTCATGCTGGTTAATGAGAGTCCACCCTTCGCCAGTTTTGTTGGCACGCCCGGTGCGGCCCAAACGATGGATGTAAGATTCCCGGTCTCGAGAGAGTCCGACTTGAATGACGTGCGTGACGTCTGGGAAGTCCATACCACGGGCCGTGACGTCGGACGAGAAGAGGATGGCAGTTTGGTCGGAACGGAACTTGTCAGCGTACAGAGATCTCCGTTGCTGGGTGAGGCGGGAGTGCAACTCGTATCTGCGTACTCTGCCGAGCGGGTGTCCGCTGCGAACATTCCCCGGTTCGTTGACCAGGTTGTTGAACGCCTCGTAAGCCAGGTTGACCTCCTTAGTTGAGTTGAAGTAGACGATTGCCTTGAATGGACGCTCGTTCTTTTGAGCCTGGTAGTTCTTGGCCAGTTCCAAAACAGCAGGAAGGGCATTTTCAAATCCATTCAGGGTAACCAACTTCTGGGGCACACGGAGATGAGTAGGAACTTCATCCTCCTTTACAGTCCGGATGAACTGGTAGTCGGGCTTCATGATCCGTTTAACCATCGACATCACCCCCGACGGCATGGTAGCCGAGAACAGAAGCGTTTGTCGGGAAACATCTTCGGGGGCAGGAAGGTGGCTTTGGATCTGGAAGATGTCCTCAGAAAATCCATCGTCGAGCAGACGATCCGCTTCATCCAAGACGAACGAGGACAATTTGGGAGCCTGAACTCCGCTGTAGGGATCCGAGAGGAGATCAAGAAGGCGGCCGGGGGTGCCAACCAGCAGATGACATCCGTATTCCCGCATCATCTGCAAGTGTTTCCGTTTCTGCGTTCCTCCGACGGCCGTCTGCACCATTAGACCCGTGCCCCCAGCGATCCGTTTCGCCTCGGTGGCAATTTGTTCCGCCAGTTCACGGGTCGGGGAGATGATGATAGAGCGAATGTCGGAGGCGGAATGGGAGGAGCGTCGACCAAGGTTTAGGGTGCTATCATTGAGAATGTTCTGCAGCACCGGCAGAAGAAATGCCAGAGTCTTTCCAGTACCAGTCTTAGCCTGGGCCAGCCTGTCGTGTGCATGGTAATTAGTAAAGGAAATTTTCAGCCGGGGGGGGCGAACTCACACGTCGCCGCCTTTCAGCGTATTTTCGATGGTCATTCTCTGGACATCGGTCATGGTGGTGATGTTCATCCTATCGGTGATGGTCCGGATGATTTTGCCATCAACTAGGCGCCTGTCGGCCAATTGCGAAAACTTGGTCAACTCCTCGCTCTCCTCGGCACTCACTTCCTGCGCCTGAGCAGCAGAGAAACGGGGAGCAGACACATGGTATAAGGACTTCGAAGCAATCTGGAATGAAGCGGAGGAGGAAGGATGCCATTGCAAAGCTCGGGGAGTCAATCCGGATGATACGGCGCGAGGCGTCGAGACTCGCAGCGCATGGCTAACGCCGAAGCGACGTAGAGCGCTAAGCATGATGGGGGAGAGCGAAAAGGAGGGGAGAGGAAGACACAGGTAAAGAATGGATCAGAAAGCAAGATGCAAACACAAATAATAAGGATACAAAAAGAAGCAAAGCCGATGTCAAACTCCCGACAATGAACAAAAAATCCAAACGACAGACAAGAAGGTGTGGAGACAGTCGAAAAAACACTTCGGGGTTGATAAGGAACGCCGGCGGAAGGTTAGTCCGGCAGAAGAAAATTTGGCCGTCAGGGGAGAAAAAAATTGGGGGCTAGTTATGAGCAGGTGAGACGTGAAGATAAGGTGCTGACTCTTGGTCCAGCTGAGTAAAGCGATGCGCCTGAGTTGGCGTCTTGGAGACTACGATGTAGGCTCTTATGAGTCTCGTTGCTTTCTACTCCGCGTTCGCCGTGGAATTTCTCGAAGGAACGCGAAATATGGGCCTGAGGCAATAGAGATGACTAAGAGGTGGGTTCCTGATTCATGCCTCAGGCATACTTGGTATAAGTTGTACACATTGCTGACTTCAGCTATGCCGTTACCCAAAAAGGAAGGTACAAAGTTATGCTCCAAAAAAAAAAAAAAAAGAAAGAAAGAAAGAAAGAAAAACCGGCCCAAAAACGGCAAAGTCACGGGATGCCGTCGAGAAGAAAAGAAGAAGCAAAAAGTGATGACTTCATCGTCTTGTCCATCCGTGATCACCACTCACCAGTATTGAAACACCACAATCAATTCCAACCGGAGAACGGAGCAACTGTCTCGCATCTGCAATTGCCAATTACTGATTATTCGAACTTCCCGATTCAGCATTCGAGTTATCCCCATTTTTATCCCCCAGAGTAAGGGATTAATTCCTGCAAATCGCCCCGTCTGGCTGGTCTCGCCTCCGGTGCGATTCAGATTCAGCAACATCTCCGAGAGTTCAGAATGGAGCACCCGGTGACTTTGCCCCAACCGTGGCTTTCTCCCGAGATTCTTCAAGTCTTCTGAATAATCCGCCTCTCACCGGTCCACCCGAGCACCAATGAGTCTGCAAAGACTACTATGGATCGAGACTGACCCGCCCTGCGTGCTCCAATTCTTGGTTCTGTTTCCGGCAGTTACCTAGGCATTCTGGCGTTTCGACGGCCATTCGCTCCCCTTCCAGAACTGTATCTCCCCTCCTCAGAAACTTTTCCGTTGCAGACCCGCTTCAGAACGTTGAGTAGAATCATGCAGACGTATTCCATCATTATTACAAATCCACCGTTGATCGGTTCTGTCGCCATGTCCTCCCCGTCTCGAGCGACTATATATGGACCCTAGCATATCCCTGTCGTCCATTTCCTTCTCCATTGTATACCCCTACTAGACTTTTGTTGAGCTCATATAATTTCACACATATCCCTTTTCATCTCCCTCTCTCTATATAATACCCATCATGTCTCAGAACTCGGCTCTCTACTTCACCAAGATCCCCGAGGGATACCCCGTCCCCGGTGAGCACGTCGCCGTGCAGCCCGTCTCCTACGATGCCAACGTGCCCACCCCCGAGAACGGTGTCGTGCTGCAGGCGCTCTACACTAGCTTCGACCCCTACATGCGCGGTCGTATGCGCGACCCGGCCACCAAGTCCTACTCGGCTGCCTTCGAACTGAACAAGCCCATCGAGAGCGCCACCATTGCCAAGGTCCTCCGCTCGAACAATGACAAGTACAAGGAGGGCGACCTGATCTACGGCTATGTGCCCATCCAGCAGTACATCGCCCTGGACGGCCAGCAGATCGTGCGCATTCGTCCCCTCGAGAACCCCCTCGGCATCGAGGACATCCGCATCTTCCTGGGCGCACTCGGCATGCCCGGTCTGACGGCCTACTCGTCGCTGTACGAGATCGGAAAGCCCAAGAAGGGCGAGACCATCTTCGTCTCCGCGGCCAGCGGTGCCGTCGGCCAGCTGGTCGGCCAATTGGCCAAGCACGAGGGCCTCAAGGTCATCGGTAGCGTCGGCTCCGACCAGAAGCTGGACTACATCATCAACACCCTCGGCTTCGACGGCGGTTTCAACTACAAGACCGAGAAGCCTGCCGACGCGCTGGCGCGCCTGGCCCCCAACGGTATCGACATCTACTACGAGAACGTCGGTGGCGAGCACCTCGAGGCTGCTCTCGACGCCTTGAACGACTTCGGCCGCATCGTCGTCTGCGGCATGATCTCCCAGTACAACCACGCCCCTTACCCCATCACCAACATCGCGAAGGTGCTCACCAAGCGTCTGACTATGCGCGGCTTCATCGTCGGTGACGCCGGCATGGGTGACAAGTATGCCAAGGAGCACCAGAAGAACGTGCAGCAGTGGATCAAGGAGGGATCCTTCAAGTCCCTGCTCCACCAGACCGATGGCATCGAGAACGCCCCCGAAGGTCTGATTGGTATCTTCTACGGCAAGAACCTCGGAAAGGCTGTCCTAAAGTTCTAAGCTGGTTTCTTTTTGTGATACATTTCCATTATTCGTTTATATATATTTGTCATGAGACATGAACCATAATCAATATATTTAGATTTCATACCTTTAAATTTATTCCATCGTAGCGCGTCACATATTATAAGGGAAGGTGTCAACTCAATATCCTAAATAAATCAGTCGATAGAATTAGCTCAACAGCTTTATATATATTCAAGACCAATTGTAGCATGCCAAGACTGCATAATAGAAAGCTACTATCACTCTTACCACTTCTGGTATCAGGTTATAGTTCACGGGTGCTTATGTTTGATCATAGATATACTTTCCATCAGCACAGATCGAATCTTATATGATAAGAAACCAGACTGCTCTAACCCTATAGGACCTTGCACCTCATACTCTCAAGCATCCACATCCAGCACTCTAGTACACAACTCGCCTGCAATAGACACACACATACCAGATACCAAATAAATTAGTATTATCCTCCCTCGTGAACAAGCAGCTGACAGCCCACACGTCATCATGTGTATGTCAGAAAAATACGAGATCCAATCAAGCGACTGTTCAAAAGCCACAGCGGACATGACTCGTCATGGAATGTCGGCGCGTCGGTTAAGTTTTAAACCCGCGATAGTAGAAGTCATACCGAAGTACGTATACGGCTATATTAATAGAAGTTCCCCTCATTCTCTGTCACGGTTTGTGATCTGTCGTATGTACCTGCCCGAGGGTCTAAGAGGGATAAGGACCGGTGAGGGGTTCAACTAGTTTGAGAAGGTGGGTTTAGGATTGAGGAAGTTGGGAAAGATTGTGAATGTGTATTTCTAAATGCTCTGGAATTTAAAATCAGCTAGAGTAAGTTCGAGCTAGCGAGCTTGATAGTTCAGAGAAGCTTTTTCTTGCCGCATGGATGATGCCGGGAGGGCTCGCCGAAAAGTATATCTAGGAGCTGGTTCTCTAACTGAGAGACACGCGGAGGGTTACACTGCTCGGTAAAGACTTGCGAATCAGTTTCGTTTTGCGTGCATACAGGCCGATATTTCAGCGCTGGTCGATACTATATAATCTGCACACAATCCCACTGGTTCTACAATGTCCGCAACGCTGAGCAGCAGACCGAATCCCTCGAATGGACACCTCACAATGACTGACATCACCGCTCGGATCAAAGAGGCGACCAGGTTGGTGCATTTTCGTTTCTCTGCAAGGATCGCATCGATCCGCAAACCGGTTTGATAGGGGGCTAGGGTTAGTAACTGTTTCCACAGGGTACCTCATGGAGAGGTGAACCACATGAACACAGATCGTATCCGGAAGTGCCTCACCGGAGAGAAAAAGTCGCTGGTCGCCTACGCAGTTGGGTTCTCGTTCTACGCCGAGATATACCTTGGGTTGGAGGAGGCCTGGCGCGAAATCGACGCTTCCGCCCCCTCGGACAGTGAAAGCTCAGAGGACACCGGCGTCTCTGCATATCAAAATAAGATATGGCAGCTATCCGAGCTGATTCGCATGGACAGCCTGAACCGGACGGAGCGGCTCCAGGCAGATCTCGCGTGTCTTCGCTCGCTGGATCCTGCCATCGCCCGCCTCACCGACAGAGAACTCAACAATACCCACATCAGAGAAGACGTCCGGAGTCGCATCCGGGAGAAGCCGCATCGGCTGTTGGCGTACGCGTGGGTCCTTTACCAGGCGTTGTTCAACGGCGGACGCTTTATACGTCGGCAGCTCATCAAGGCCGGCCCCAAGTTCTGGGGTCTACCAGAGGAAGATGACGAGGGTCTTGCCTCGTTCCCGCCTCCGTTGTCGTTTTGGCACGTTCCCGATGACCCGAATTATCCACAGGAATTCAGATGCCGGGTCAAGGAAGCCGAAGGGTTGTTGACGACTGCCGAAACGGACGACGTCATTGAGGAATCGGTCGGAATTATCTGTCGGTGCAAGGCGTTGACCGAAGAGCTGGACAAGCGAGGAGCAGGTTTCCCATGATTTTTGGATCAATTCATGTGTTGGTATGGCGATGGTGGTGGCCAGATCTTGTTGATTGCCTGGTAGAAGTCTTTGCCGGGAAGGAGATGGGGGCGAGTGGCTGTATGCGCAAGGGTAGTATTTGAGGCCGGTGCCTGGGAAGCAGTAGTTAATCAATAGCTCGCGAAGAAGTAGGATACTCTAGGAGCATTTCAGTATTTGACAGAATTGAACAAAGAGATATCCTCTTGGTGACAAGATGGTTGGAAGAAGAAGAAAGTATTGCCGGGAACGTCGGCCATTCTCGGCTGGGCGGCGAGTCACGGGCCAATCAGGGCGGGCGTAATAGGATGACTCTCCCGAGGTTGCGAACTCGTCCATTCCAACTCATCTTCCTGGAATCTCAAGTCTTGACCTTCCTGCCAAATCTCCCTTCTCCGTTTCGATTTCGCCTCTGTCTCACCATGGCTTCGATCGCGCGTCAGTCCCCTCTGCTGCGGCAGTCCTGCCTCTCGGCCTTCCGCTCGCCGCTGGCCACCAAGAATGTCTCGCAGGCCGTGGCCTTCCACGCCTCCGCGAAGAAGCAGATCCTGCCTCCGTTGCCTCGTGAGTAGCCCCGAGATCTATATGATACTATATATCCGAGCGAAATGGCTGTTCAAGATCGAATGGACATGGAGTTGGTGCTTGAATTGATATACTGACGAATTGAATCAGAGGTCATCCACGGATCGAGTACGTACACCCACCACCGGTTCCCTGCAGGTTGATATGGAGTTGGAAACGCGATGCAGACGCCTTCGCGGATCGCTCCAATTTCCCGCATCAACACTTCCGCGTGTTGGAGAATAGTGTGATGCTGACATCTTGTGTCTAGCGAACGACCCGGCTCCCATCCCTGAGGCTCACCCTTCGCACGGCAGCTACCACTGGAGCTTCGAGAGGTTCGCCGACTCTACTCGGCATTATGTCGGGGACTTTGGGGGCATGTTTGTTGACTTCTAATCTAGACTCGTCGCCGCCGGTCTGATCCCTCTCACTCTCGCTCCCTTCATCGGCGGCACCTTCAACCCCGTCATGGATGCCGTGCTCTGCTCCTTCATCGTCGTCCACTCCCACGTCGGATTCCAGTATGTGCCCCCCGTCCTCGCCTTGGGATTATATGGTTATGGTTACGGATTGCTCACGCTTCACAGGGCCTCGATCATTGACTACTTCCCCGCCCGCCGTGTCCCCAAGACCGCCTCCTTCATGAACTGGCTGCTCCGTGGCTTCACTCTCACCACAGCCGTCGGTCTGTATGAGTTCGAGACGAATGATGTCGGTGTGACGGAGGCTATCAAGCGGGTGTGGAAGGCATAGACGAACCCCATTGATATCCAGTTTCTTTTTTTTTTCGTTTCTGTCTTATCTTCCTCTTTCCCTCGGAATTCCTTTTCCTCTGTCCAGGCGTTTCTTGCCTCTGTATATGCTGTTCTATCTGTGTTCGATCTGCCAGCTCCGCCGGCGATTAGAGCTCTTCTTTTTCTGTATTGAGCCGCTAGAAAATGTGTAACCGTGAACTTGATCTGATATCTTGTATACCCTCCCTTCATCCCTCAAATCCTAGTCCTCCATCCCTAACCAAACCCAAACCAAACCCAACACACTCCTCTACTCATCCTCACTCTCCTCATCCAACCCATCCCTCTCCGAATCCGACAACCGATCCTCATCATCCGCCTTGTGCACCACCTTCTCAATCAACTTATACGCCGTCCGCAACGGCAACCCAATCACATTATCATAACTCCCCTGCACGCTCTCCACCAAAATCGACCCGATGCCCTGCAACCCATAACCCCCCGCCTTATCGACCCCCTCTCTCGTGCGCACATACGCCATGATCAACTCATCCGACACGTCCGCCCCAAACCGCACCGTCGTCTCCTCAATCGCCGTCTCCATCACATATCCGGGCTGTCGCGCGCTCGCTAACGGCGCCATCGCCACCAGCGCCGTGTAGACTTTATGTTCACCGGCGTCGCGCAGGGTCTTCAGCATCGAGATGTGCTGTGCTTCGCTGCGCGGTTTCTCCAGGATCGACCCCGACACGGTGTCCACAACGACTGTGTCTGCGGCGAGGAGCAGCGCGGGCTCCCCCTTGGCTTCGTTTTGGATCTCGATCTCGTAGACGGCTTGCGCTTTCTTGGTGGCGGTCGCGAGCACGTATTCGAACGGTTCCATTGTTTTGGGGAAGTCTTCGGCGGCGTTTGAGGGGATTACTTCGATCGAGGGGAGGCCGAGGAGGGACATGATTTGGCGGCGGCGGGGAGACGCGGAGGCTAGGATGACGCGCTTGTCGCGGAGCGTGTTGAGAGCTGGGAGGGCGAGGGAAGGAGGGCGGGGGAGAGGCGCGCGCTCGCTCGTGTCTGTGTCGGAGAGGAGGGATTTTTTAATGTCGCTCATTTTGGATGGTTGTTTTGTTTGTTGGATGGGAGGGTGGGGGGGGGGGGGGGGGGTTGGTGGTAGAATTGGTAGATCTATTAAGGAGAGGGAGGTAGATGTGGGAAGGGAGAACGGTGTAGATTTGAAGATGGAGGGATGTTCTGCACTGAGGATGTCACTGAATGAGTCAAGCCCTGTTTTGCGGATTCGATCATGGACAGGAGAGAGGGGCGGTGGAGCAGGGCAGATTAACGATAAGGGAGAGAAACACGTAGGTGGGTTTCTCTGCAGCTGCATCCCGGACGGTGTGGCTTTGTACACAATGTCTTTGTAGTACGGTTCCTGGGCCTGTCTCTCTACTCTCTATCGGATTGGGTGTTGTTCATGGTGAGGCACTCTTTGTGTTGGACCATCGGATTTGCAAAACTTCCTGGTCCTAGTATAGTAGCCTCGGTCTGTGATATCGTACATAGGTACCATGTAGACCCTCGGTATAGCAAAAGACTTCAGAGGAAAATGCATTGCAAATAATACTCCTGTGAGTGACACACTCCATGCAAGACTCAAAAGTTCTCGCTGATCGTGATAATTATGTAATAACACCGACAATAGGAATTAAACCGCCTATTGCCATCCCACCCACCAGTCCTCTCGATAAATCAATAACGCCCGAACACCAAGCTAAACAGCGCCATACTGAAATACCTCCTCTGTCAAATTAGACCCCTGGATGATCGTAGCCGACACGGCCGAGTTGCCATGCCCTATGGAAATGTGGCATAGCGTCGACCAAGTGGGATACCGACAGCCGGGGCAGAGGATGTAAAATGCCACAAAACAGACAGGAGGTTTTTTCCAACCCCCAACGTATCTCTCCAGGACCATCCGATGGGAGAAAGAAAACAAATATAAACCAGTTCACGAGAACCCCTCCAATGAAATCGTGTCGTCAACATCGTAGTAATAATAGATGATAGTACCCCATAGCTATGCCGATCGGACCTCGGCACGTCTCAATTCCCCCAAACTTGCCGGCCGACAGGGCGAACCAAAGTCCCCGGCACAGCGGCAGCCTTTGGCTACATAGCCAGGGGCAGAAAGAAATGCGACGAGAAATGAATATAATGAGTCGTCAGATCTGTCGGAGGGTCACCCCGTCCGGAAGGCATCGTCAATCCGGCCGCCCCTGCGTTCGATCTCCGCAATCAACTCGTGCCGCTCCTGCAGCTGCAGGTGGATGAAATCGACCGTCTTCTTCAGCACGATACTCTCGCTCCGGCCCTGGCCCTCCAGCCCCGGGACCAACTCGGTCAGACGGTCGAAGCCCTCGCGGATGGCGGCGCGGCGCTTCTGCTCCGACGCGATGTGGTTGTTCTTCTTCTCTTGCTCGGTCAGCCGCGGCTTGTCCTTGTCTTGGGCGGCGCTGGACGAGGACGCGGCCCCTGCCTGTTTGGATGCAGTCGGTGTGGAGGAGGAGCGGTCATGGTCGTCGCGATCGCGATCGTCGGAATTCGTAGGCGCTGGGACCGGGGAATATGAGGGTTCGGAGGAGCTGGACGCGAGAGAGGCAGGGGGTTGGGCGGATGGCATGGTAAATGGCGGGAGAATTAATTGGGTTTCTGGTAATTTTCCTCTTCCGCAGTAAAGGTAAGGGAGGTCTAGAGGTCGTCAAGGTAAAGAGAGATTGAGAAAGAGGAGAACTACTCTATGCATGTATGAGAGTAGGTGGACGTAGTAGTAGTAGAGCGCGGAGGGGGAATGTGACTTTTCATGTGACAGAGGAGGGGAAAGGTCGTAAAAGAATGGAGGATCAGCAGGGACGGAAATCAGGGGAGAAGAAGACGAGGAGATCACAGATGCAAGCCATACGAGAACAAGAACGAGAAGAATGAGAATGAGAATGAGAAAGTAGAATTGCGAGGAAGAGGAAAGGAAAGTAGAGAAAAGAAGCTCGAGGACTGAGAATTTGGCAACAAGAGTTTGGACGTTATATGGTTCGTCATATTTTGCAGTGGTGGATTACCATTCGCCGAGCTCTATTTGAAAATTGAAACCCTACTTGGCAGGGACTTTCCACAATTTGCAAAAGTATAAGACGGCTAAACCCAATTAGGTGGAGCGCGGGTAATTTCCATCTCTACGGTACCTAACGTCCAAGACCTCAATTTTGAGGACTCGTGACTGTCAGGAGATATCGTGTAGAACCATGGATTATGGAGACCAATGGCAAGATGGATAGCATGTCATGGATCTTTAATGCAGGACTGTCGAGATCATGGAAGGTTGTAATCGCTGGGAAGATGCGCTGGGAAAGAAAGACTCAAGTCACTGGCGAGGATCCCCTCAATGTCGACGCCGTGTATGTCCTGGGGCAGAACCGTCTGATCCTCCAGTATGTGGGGATCGGCGAAGATGTCCCAGGCCATGTCAAACGATGCCGGGATGGGCAATGGCGGAATAATCTGAGGATCATCCGCAAATCTTGATCGGTTAACATCCTGAGGGACTGACTGATTCGGCGTCGTCTCAATCTCTGGGGTAGCAGGTTTGTCATTATGCCTCTCTCGAGTCTGCTGGTATAACTTGCCTAGATGCAGATGAATGCATTTGGCAGGATACCAGGACGTTGAGAGCTCCTTGAGCGTCTGCAAAAACGCCTCGATCTCGTGTTTCTGGGCCAGTGAATGCTGTTCGGTCTTGGTGCCCTCTACCTCGAAGCTGTAATTTTCGAGCGATACCAAGGCCGCAGATAGAGTGCAGTGCGTTGCGGTGATGGGGCTCAATCGAAAGCTACCGAACTCTTGCCGATATTTTTGCGCCACCGCACGCATCTTTCGTGCCGATTCATCACACAGCAGCTTAGCCTTATTGGTGATTTCTTGGTCGTCATGGGCGGCACCTGCTTTTTTGGCAGACCCCGATGGGATGAGGAATGGCTTGCTCAAGAGAATGAACACAGTGTAATACACCATATGAAGTGTATACACCTGAGGTAGTACGTTTGCCGTGCTGATCTTAAGATCGGATGGCAGATCGTAATACCAGGATCTGAGCTTCACAACGCACTTATCAAAGAATGCCGATCTTTTGGGTCCCCCAAGAAGTGGCTTCGGGGCCCACCTAAGTGTTCGAATATCAGCCATGGTCAACCGGTTTTGGCCAACAGGATGTAACGTACAATGAGAGCAATATCCGCTCTAGGATGCGGCAAATGCCAATATTAGCAAGTTGTAGTGACACCACGCGAGACTCAATTTGAGTCCCAGATGGAGATGGTAAATTAACAACCCCTTGGGGTTCCTATAGTTTGTTAGACCGAAAATGCTTGCTGTGGGGTCAAAGAGTGATTATACCAGCAATGTACAAACACGCCCTGTATAGCTAGCCGCGAGTTTATCATGGCAGTATAATGACCAGTAAATTTGCCGTCTCAATTCAGCCTCCTCGGTAGGCATTGATACTTTGCTAGCAAGCGCGGATGAGTCGACGTTGAGGCCCATATCAAGAGCTAAGCGGCACGCCATTCCTTGATAAAGCCACCCTGCAGCATCTTGTCCCATTGCCTATTCAAGCCAGTTAATTTCAGGATGAGGCCCATGACTTTGGTTGACATACAACATAAACCATACCCAGTATAGCGATAGACTGAAGGGTAGTGATATTCGGCCACTTGAGTTCGAAAGGTAGCAAAACTTCTGCTCGTTCAAGAAAGAACTGTCCAGCTGAGTTAGAATTATCGGGAATTGAGCGAACGTCCAGGCGATCTGAGTATCGAGAAGCAATGGCAAGGATACAATTGACTAGCAATGGGCTGGCAAATCGACCATTCTGCTGTAAACTTTCTCTGAACAGTTTTTCGTTAACCACTTGGTACCAAGGCTGCTCCCAGGTGAAATAAAGTTTGAATAAATGAGACTTCAGCTCATCTGAAGGAACTGGATCTTCACTCATGGGATAAGAAAAGTCATCTAATTTCTCATATAGACCAGTTAAGCCAGGCCCTTCTTTATATTCGACAGGGAGTATGTTATTGGTTGAGACATCTATATCAGAGCGATTAGATGCACGCGAGAGTGTCACAAGACCCTGAGCCATACCTCGTGATGATTGAAATGGTAAACGACCACTCGTGGGTCCAAAGTATCGCATTTCACCATCATCATCAAAGTTCAATGCTTCATCGAACGTTAAGGTGCCGTGAAATGCTCCGCACAAATCGTCCAGGTCAGATGAAAGGCTGTGATTAATAGAGGCGTCTGTGCTGGTATTGAAATCATCGGGATGCAGAAGGTCGTGGTGCCCCACCAATTCAGACAGTGATGCTTCTACATCAATACCATGTGAGCGTAAGATATGCTCGAGCGCCTCTATTCTGTTGCGAAGAAGCAGGACATATGACTTTGGTGCTGGCTGTCGGTTATTTTGGGTCTGGTAGTGGCAAGGAATATTTCGATTGAGACATCGGGAGCATGATGGTTTTTGTCCCTCACACTATGTCAAAAGTCAGCAATCGAATGACAACAGAAGATTGCAGCAATATGGATGAGAGAAAACTCGTTCTTGAAGCCTCACTTTTGCTCGTCGGCGACGGCATTCGTCGCACGCCTTGGAAGTGTATTTCCGTTGTATCGTTCTTCCTCGGCCTTTTTTAGGTGCTGTCTCGGACATTCTGATGAGGTGACAACTAGAAATATGACACTGAAGAAGCAAGTTTACATGAGATTATAAGAATGATCATTTGAGTCAAGTATAGATTAAAAAATGTTCCAAAAGTCGCCCTGAAGTGGCGCTGTCGGGGAAATCACCAAGCTTACTAATTGAGCTTCCAACCTGAGAGATTTAGAAAAACACATTAATTTGGCATTTTTGGCCCAAAATCTAGGGGAAAAGTTACTTGCAGAAGTTGAAACAGTTCATTCTTTTCATGCAACTCAAAGCTTATGCCCCCATGCAGTACCATGAATCCAACTGTGGTATCATGGTCTACGGCCGACAGCCGCTCTTTAGTTGATTTGTAGAGGATAAAGTGATTTCTATTTTAAATGTGGAACATCGATCGATTGAATCCGCAGAGACTCATGAAGCGTGTTTAGCAGAATTCAACTAGATCGCAAGTCATTAGAGCGAGGCACAAGGCCAATCGTTGTAGTTCTCATCGGGCTTTGTATATGGGCCATAGTTCACTGTTTTGCCGCGGTCATTTCCGGCAAAGGGAACTCCCTTCTTGATCCTGGTAATCAAGTCCTTCCGTTGATATCGATATTAGCATGGAAATAAATTATTGAAAGGGTTTAACAAACCGGGTTATAAATGAAAGGGCGACCAAATGTGACCAGATCGATTTTCCCTTCACAAACAAGGTTGTCCGCCTCTGCCACTGTATATTCGTGATTGACCATGAGCATTGTCTCGCTTCCGGGATACTTGATCAAATGACCGAACTGGCGGAGTGGCTCATAATTTGGAGGCAACTGTTTCCCAGCCGGTCTGGGGCTAGGCATGAAGTAATCATCCTGAGCTCTGCCAATTGCGCACCCCCTCCGGGACAGATTTATATAACCGAGGTTTCGACTGACGAGTTGCCTGATAAGGTAGTTGTATGTCTCACTCAGTTCTTCAAAGGAGACGGCAGAGTCATTGTAGTCGTCGGAAGGGCAGATCTTGATACCAACTCGCCGTGGACCCCAGACCTCGATGATTGCGTCGGTCACTTCAAGGACGAAACGGCATCGGTTTTCGACCGAGCCTCCGTAAATATCGGTGCGTAAGTTCGAGTGGCTGCAGGTATAGCAATTAACTTTATTAGCTGCGCAGTCAGCTCATCCCAGAGAAGTACTCACGAGCATAAGAAGTTATGGAGGAGATAGCCCCTACGGATCCAATTAGAAAGTGCTTAGGTGACAAAGTGCCAGCGAGCTTACCCTTGAGACAGCAACTCAATCCCATCAAACCCAGCCTCTTTTGCAAGCGCGATTGCGTTTTTGTATTGTTCAATAATCACTTTCGGGTCCTGGATTTCGGTGATATTGTCCGTGTAGCCCTATGTGGATCAAAACCGAAGCGCAGAAAGAGATTAGCATCCAGAATAGCACGCAGTATACTAAGCTTCATATTTCAAGATATACCGGTAGGCTTGGTATTGTCCTAAACTTTCCTCCTGCGGCGCGTACTTTGGAAGGCGCCAGTACCGGATAACCTGTATCTCTGAGCATCGGCATGTTTTCATTTTGGATGCGACCTATCGTTTGAGTGGCTGTCAGTGCGTGCTTTGTTTGCGGATGGACTGCTCGAACCTGGATGCCATGGCTGGAGGAAGATCTTTCCTCCTTCGCGATGGACCCCGTCTGTAACCTTCTTCCAGGCGTTTGCGTGTTGTTGGTTGTACATGACCGGCGCGTCCGGCCACTCTGCCCCGTTTAGGTAGACGAATGTTCCTTCAGCCACCATAAGACCAACCCCATTCCGTGCTCTTGTTGCATAGTGATTGACCACAGCATCTGTAGGCATGTTCTGGTTGATGCAACGATTCCTAGTCATGGAGCCCATGCACACGCGATTGCGCAGAGAGATCAAGTCTCCAAGGGCGACGGGAGTGAGGAGGAATGACATTGCTTGGGATGATGAAAGTCAATAGGAAAATTGTAAATTGAAATTCCGTGTGGTATTTGATGCAAATTCTCAGGATAGCGGTCAAAAATGGGTTTAATAGAACGCACAAAAGCAGGACTGCCTGTTAGTTAAGATCTCATACAGGCCTTCATTCTTGGCAGGGCAACAGGAATATACATTCCGCCTAGTAATTGTTGTGGACCTGGATGGGTAACCAACAGCCACAAGGCACTTGATGTGAAGGACTGACCGGGACTTCAAGATATGCACCCCAGGCCATCAACCAAGCTGGATCTATGTGGATGTAATCAGGCCAAGAGACGGTGCTATGGGAGTGGTGATTGAGGTATCTGCTCATGATGCGAAAATGTTTGAATTTTTAAGAGTATATGAATCATGGAGGACAAAAGATAGAAAGGTTACTGGATTCATGATAGTTCCCCTATCACTTGGTGCAATGCTTGCCATTCCTGGGTGGTTGACCATTGGCGTACGGAGTATGGACAAACATCGGCATGGACCATCTCCCGTGCGGATCAAACGGTGCCAAGATTTGTTTGCTACTTCCCTGGATCGTCATTGAATTCACAAGAGTTGGTTTGTTGCAACTTGTCTTTCTCTTTAAACAAAAAAAAACATTGTAACGGGAGGTCTATGAGGATAATATACCACATCCGGCTCATAACAACATCACCAGTGACGGGAACAACATGAGGGTATACTTATGATGCGAGAATGGCCATGTCATGCCAGCCGAACCGGGATCTGCGACCTTGGCACATTGACGTCATGCCCGATATCCCACCCCATTCGGACCGTTTGCCTGGTGAAATTTCCTCTTCGCTCGGCCATTGACGCACTTCCTTCTGTCAATTCCTCCCTTATCCCTGTTTAACTTCTCTCTGGCTTGCGGGACCTCTGTCCTTAACTGACCAACCGGACTGGTCAACCAACCATCACGAACTAGATCGACAGCTGTCTCATACTCCGTAGAATAGAGAGATATGGCCAGCAACGAACCTCTGCATGGAGCTTGTCTCTGCGGTCGCAACCAATACCACATTCACATTCCAAACAATGTGACCGATCACGCCGAGATCTACTTTGATAGCGGTCGGGACAACCGTACGTCACTTGAATTTGATTTCCTCCCATATCGCGTGAACAGTTCTTAGCTAATGAATGATTTCTTGTTTCTTTTGTCGCGAGCAGGACGAATTCACGGAACTCCACTTACAGCATGGCTCCGCGTCCCTCTGTCTTGGTACCAGTCTCATACCGAATCGTTCTTCCCGGATGAAACGCATTCCACCATTCGTCGTATCTTCTCGCCTCATCATGCACCGCATACGCAGCGTGTCTTCTGCGGCTTCTGCGGCAGCCCCCTTACGTACTGGAGCGAAGAGCCGCGGGAAGACGCTGAATATATGTCTGTGACGATTGGTAGTCTCGATGCTGAGGATCAACGCTTACTGGAGGACCTTGATCTCCTCCCTGGATCGGAGTCTTCGTTGGAAGATGAGGATGATGAAAACGAAGACGGCGACGATTCTTCGGATGAAGAAGACGAGGACCAGAAGGATGTCGTTGCTGCACCGGCTCCGCAGGCGACTGCTTCCACATCTACTGTTGTCGTGCCACCTTCGAAAGGGGAAGGGAACCTCTCCCGGTCTTATCGCCAAGGCACGGTAAGTGGGATTCCATGGTTTGAGGAAATGATCGAGGGAAGTCGGCTAGGACGGTTGATGAAGGGTAGACGAGGTATGGGAGTCAGTGATGATAATTCTACCACGATAGAGTGGGAGGTTAGCGAGTGGACCAATGATGATACTGGCTTGGCTCAGGCTGGGTCGTCTAGGGCATCAAGATCTGGGAAGAGGAAGCGTGGTCATACTAATGTGGAGGAGATCGAGCAGCCTAGCAAACGAACGGAGTCACCTTAATAGTGCATATTTTCTTGGTATAAAGTGGAAGTCAAATAGTTGAAGCATAATGAAATGTTTGGATATCTTAATTTTCTAGTTACTACAAGGTCCAATATACAGAGTACCAACTGTGCAATTAGATCAGTATTTGTTTGCCTACCTCCTATATCTGCTGGTAGATGACCTGTATTATCATTTATCACGTACCTAATATTTGAATATAGAAGCATTGAAGGCATGCATTCCAGGTCTTTATGCCCAAACATCTCGTCGTTTGAAACTCCACCTCTACAGGAAGATTCTCTTCCCTTCAACAGAAAGGGCCTAGGCACACCCCAGCACGACCATTCCCTGCTACCAAGGAACCTTAAGACGTGAACAGTTTCCCCAGACTGCAGTGATCTCTATCAAAGTGAGCCAATGAGCGCACACTGCACCAGTCACGCTAGCAGACGTGACAGGATATGCGAGGTTTTTAGGTCTTAACTGAGCTGATTGCCTAACTGGGGATCGCCTCGCTTAGGTTATTGTTGCTTCCCCCAAAGTGAAGGAGACCTTTGTCTACTTCTCGCACTTCTGTCCCTGTCATAAGTTCTGTTCTTCTTTCTCTCTCTCTCGCACATATACTACTCCTCTTGTCCACTACCTTCCTTCATCTCTCTCTAGTCCCGCATCTTGAGATATCATTTTGTTATCTTCAAGAGCCTCTTCATCATCATTTGCATCCTTGAATCGTCACTACTTGCCTGGAAGCTCTTAGTTCTCTTGTCTCACGTCACGCCTTGGTGAAGGATTTGTAGCCAGATAGCTGATCATCGACCTGTCTCAGCAGTCTGTTCGCTGCTCCCCATCCTGGGTAATAAGTAGGCGCCCGTGAATATCTGTTTATCTCTTGTAAGTCTTCGCTCATATTGACTTTCTTCGACTGGGACACAGAAGCCTACCAGATCAACAGCTAACCCATCTTACATTGTAGTATCGATCCATCAAAGGCATCACTCATGGCTTCTAAAATCCCAGCACTTTCTAGAATGAAGACCGAGATGAGTGAGCCTGTTCTCAAAGGCAAAAAGAAGCAAGTGGACACCTCGAAGCCTCCTTCTAAATTTTCCAAGCAACGCCTGGTGCATGCCAAAGCATCCGCTCCTTACCTGAAGTCAAAAAATGCCACCGAATCGGTGCCTGAGACTCCGAAGCAACAGCTGCGGAACCCATCATCTGCGCCTGGCTTCAAGGGTCAACGCTCCGAGCCCAACCTGAGAAGAGTTGCATCTACACGCTCCGCCAAGTACTCGAAGTCATCTCATTCTCCGCTCAATGCGCCTAGGGTTCCGGGGCTTCCTCGATCAAAGTCAAGTTGGACCTTGGGAGGCTCAGAGAAAAAGGGTGTGCCACGCTTCATGTCCTCGGAGCACGCTAGAAGCATCAGATCGGTTCGGTACAACCCCCCTCCAAAGACTGGAGAGTTCAAGTTGCCCACCATCACGGGGTGCACTCCGACTAGGTCAAGATTTCCAGAGCTTGAACCGAAGCATGAGACACGTTCTGAGAGGATGATCAAAGCCATCCGAGACCCCAAGGGCATGATGGTGACAAAGTACAAAGGCGCAATGAAGCAGTTGTCGGGAATGGAGATGCTGAAGAAGATGCACAAGTGTCTCAATACCATCAAGCCGGGGGGTTCAAGACACGTCGAGGCTCGTTGGATTCCACTCATTGTTTGAGAAGACTTGGAAGCTGACCGAAAGGCTCAATGATATAGGAAAAGCCGCTCTACCAACTGAGAGCAATCAAAAGGGCTTCGACGCTTCTCACAATGCCTAGGTCTCAGCCCACTCTGACTATTGCTCAAGTAAGTAGATGTCGACCCTCCGAGCGATAGGAGTGATTCATACTTACAACGAGGGCAGGTTGAGCGCATGCTGGAAGCAAATAGACAGCGACTTTCTGTTGGGACTACCATGAGTAGAAGATCATCAGTATACTCCGATTCAGTTGAGAATATCGCCGAGGGCCCGGGGGTTGAACAAGGGCCCGCGGATCAACAGGGGTCAGCCATAGTGAATGAAGAGGAGGCAGACGAGGACCGCACAGTGCGCGAGTCTTTACTTCTCTTTCGCGAGTGGCTGGACTTCTTGCAAGTAACTGCAAACCCATTCGCTGAGGACGAAGATTTCACTTCCCCAGCAATCCCTCTCACCTCCCCACAACACTCCTCTTCTTCACTTCCTCTCACCCACGACACCCTTCAATCTCTTCAAAATCTCTCTTTCCCCGACGAAGATCGTTCTAATTCTGCATCCCCTACATCTTCTGACATCACTATCACCCCTGCTAACGCACATACCTTTCTCAAAATGTCTTCCTCTTCAAAACCCGCTTCTCACGACCCTTTTGTCGACTCCACTGAAGTCAACTGCACCAAGGCAGGTAACGGAAACATCGAGTCCTCTCACCCAAGTGAGTCCTCCCACAACCGTCCCCATCCCCTACACAAGGAGCTTGAGTATTCTTATCGAATACTCTTGTCCTCGAATACCAAGCGGTTTCTGCTGGTAGCCTCCAAGGTTGAACTTGATTCAGCCAGATCCAAGCCCGAAAAGTCTTTTGTGTTTCTTTCGCTGGGGTTTCTGAGGCGAGGAAAGAAAACATACTGACAATCACCAAGCCGTTATGAAACAGGGCACTGCTAAAGCAGGAGAAAGCTCAGCCACTAGGAAGAGTGAACCCCGTAACTTGAAGGCCTTGAGCTACCGACCTGGCAACGAGTCAGGTAATGACCCTCATGGATGACCTCTCTTGCTTGGATTTGAGCTGACATGCAGCAGACACCAACACCCCTCACGCACCTCATCAGGCCAAGGACACTAAAGTCCGGCCATCTTCTCGCATCCCCCGGGGCCCTGCCAATATGCAGACACAGATGCCGCCATCGAGCGAACAGAAAGAAGCGCGAGCTACCTCGGGATCTCGCAGCTCAATCCCCCTTATCAGCCGCATCCATGGTGCTGAGCAGATGAGAAGTGCTAGTAATGTGCCAGTCGGAAGCTTCTCCGGAAGCATCAGAGTCGTTGAAAGACCCCGTGGCCCACGTCCCCAGATCGCGGGAGAGTGGGCCGATCCTAAGATCGAAATGCCGGAGCCCATGTCCTCATCGTATGGAGAAGAAGGTGATCTGCAGAAGCCCCCAACCGTCTTTACTGGGGAGTATCGCACTCGCAAATTTCCAAAATCTGCATCATGCTTGGACGCGCCCAAGCTCAAGATAGCTTCCTCTGCCGAACAAGTGCTCATGGGCGAGGACACCAAGGGCGGCGACGAAGCTGATACCCAACGCTCACACCCGGCCCTTGAGCACTCCGATCCTCTCGAGTGTCTTCAGAAGGAGATCAATGATGATGATGATGATGATGACGATACCCCTCGCCCCTTGCCAGCAACTCTGGCCTTTCACAATCAGTCGGCCGAGCAGACTCCCGCGACGCGCAACTTCTGCCGACCCCATCACTTTGGCGGCAGCCTCCGAAGCAACCCAGTCACGCCCACTCAGAAGCCACTTGGAGCATTCTCTGACGACATCGGCAATGGATATCCCTCGACCTCTCGCATCGCCTACCGCAGTTCATCCATGCAGGCCGTGGCCGATTTCCCCCTGCATCCAAAGGTAGCCAGTGCCATCGACTTGAGCCAGAAGCAAGACATCGGTCAGGACAATCTCGCAGTCAAGGCTTCGGGCCCGGCCCAAGCTGGAGGACGCAGATTCGGAAACATCCGAAACATCTTCAAGTCGACCAAGGGCAACGAAAAGGCACGCGGTCGAAGAGAGGAGAACGAGGCACCCGGCGCTGCCAGCAAGGAGGCAGTGCCCGAAACCATCAAGGCCCGGGCTAAGCGCAACGTGAAGATCTCCCCGGCCCAAATCTCACCTCCCATGCCCATGACAGAAGAGGAGAGCCGCTCATTCGCGCGAGCCACCACATTGACGCGCACGAGGGCCGAGCCTCCCCGTGACGGACGTATTCGTCGGGCCAACCTGGCAGCAATGTCCACGGGCAGCCCCCAGGGCCGCGGGGCCTATCGACGCTCGCAGGCCATGATGGTCCGGGACGGGGCAGACGCGGCCATCGAGGGGCTCATCGCCAAGGCCCGGGGTGCGGCAGCACCCGGCAAGAGGGAGGAATACCTCCGAGTAAGTTTTTCTTCTTTCTGTGAATTGAGTTTCATGCAGCATTCTTTGCTAACTCCACGTGCAGTTGGCCCTCCGGCTGCAGAAGCAGCTGGACGAGTACAAGGAGGCAGAGCGGGCAGCGGTGGAGGCGTCGGCCTGGGCCGCTAACAAGCGGTCCGCAAAGGCTGACGCCGAAGCCGTCTTGCTCGCTGCTGCCTCCGAGGCGATGGGCCAATAGCCGGCGGTCTTTTTGTCTTTTTTATTTCCTTTTTTCCCTTTTTTCCCTTTCTTTTTTCTATTTTTTAATCTTTTTTTCCGTTCTGCTGCGTCTGTTCTTTGTGTTTGTTTTATACCACCCGCCGCCAACGGCGTGGAACTTCACGAGGGTTTCCTTTTTTTCTTTGAAGAAAATAGAAAACCAAAAAAAAAAAATTAAAAAAGAAAACAAAAAAAGATAGAAAAAATCTCAGAAAATGAAAAACATCAAAAAAAAAAAGGGAAGACTTGTCTGAGTCAAACAAAGAATTGTGCCTGATTCAAACGGAAACCCACGTAGTCCGTAGTTTGTATACAACCCGAACCGGCCGTCTCCTGGGAATTTCCAATTTCTTCACGACCACTGACTGGAACATCACTCAAGTCGCAGTTGCCTACCTTCCCATCTCTTTTCTTCACTTCAAAGCTACAGACACAAAACAGCTTGCAGAGATTTCCCCCATTCACTTCTCCTCTTCGTCCCCCGCCAATCTGCTGAAGATGGGCCAGAAATAGATAATGCCCAGCCGGGTTTCTTTGTTGCTGAAGACGAGGGAAAAGACCCTTTGTGTGGAAAAGCACTTTGTGTTGCTCCTGCAGACGCAGCAGTTTCTGCTAGATACTTTTGATTGGAGAAAGTGACAGCGAAGGCCGTTCTTACCTCTTTGACGGCGTCGGCTTTTCTCACTTCCTACGCTCTCCTCCCACCTTGTTAATACGACTTTACCATCCACCACTCGATCGATCACCTCATCGCCTCTTCTTCGCGCACTAATCCATCCTATCATCCTCGTCGTCATGGGGAAACATCGCAAACAGCAGAGAAACTCTGTCAGTGTCTTATTCTATTTTTCTTCTAGATAGGATCAACTAACCTAGCAAATCCCAGCAGAATGAGCTGTCGCGGCGTGGAAATCCAGCAGAAGGAAGAATGAGCTCCAGGCGTCCTAGCTTTCCTCCCATGTTCGCCAGAGATCAGGACCGCCATCCCAGAGACGGAGTCTCATCTGGACATCCACCCCACGGTTGGACCGGGCCACCATCACCCTACACCCATCCGCGCAACTCGACCATGCAGTTCGTCCCTGGTGTACACTACCCACCTGCCATGCAGCAGCCTCAGATACCCTCTCCCGGAAATGGTCCAGGCTTGCCATTGCTTCCTCCATCCGAGATGAACATGAGAATGATGCCCGCAAATGTTCCTCATCCATACTTTCAGCGGGGCAACGACAATAGAGGTCTGCGACATCGCTTGTTCAACGAGGACTATCGCTACGCGGGTCCGCAGCAGGTAAGATTCTATCCTTCCAGCTTGGGCCATTTGTTTGCAGTTGCGACGGCGATGCTTGTGTTGGGCCTTGCTGACGGAGGCAATCTCTTTCGCAGGTTTATGCCCCGCCTGATGTCAACGGTCACTTTGCAGAGCACTTGGCGTATGAGTACGCTGTGCCAAATTATGCACCCGAAACCAATGGACACAGATCGGAAAAGTTCCAGTTGCGCGGGAATGCGCCAGTTTTTGTGCCCAGAGTCCAGGCGCTCAGGGAGAAGTCCGACGACGAGAGTGCCGTTTACAGTTCCGATCAGTTTCGCTCGTCAGACTCTGGCATCAAGGTCGAAGAAATGGGCTCTAGGTCTGACGACAGTGGAAGGATTTCATCAGGGGATAGAGTCGCCTGGTTGGTTGTCAGCAGTACTCGCTAAGCGATGGGTGTATGACCGAGGGTTTACTTTTTATGACTTTGGAGATATGACTACTTCCACATCAATTCGGATAGTCTGTCATTTATCTATCGATTGTGTTACCGACATTTGCTAATCTCAAATGCTTACCAATGCCAATCGGGGAATTGTTCATCGTAGCGTTCGCTGTTCCGATAGATGTTGCCAACCTGTTGTTTTCTTCCACTTCCTCCCACCATAATGATCGCGAATACAAAATGAACCGATCGACATACGCGACGACCAGTCGGTTGCCTGTCCATTGCGAGAGCCCCCAGCAATCTAGGATTGCTGATACAAGAGACAACTACCACCGATAAATCCACTTCTGAGGAGTAAGTATTCCACGGTTACGCCTTGCTAGACGGACCCGAATCAGGCAACCTGGAAGGGAACGAAAGCTCTGGCGATTGGATTCCACGACATTGCTAGGATTGAACAATGTTCTCCAAGCCCACGCAAGGAGATTAGGAACTGGCTTAAAAAGTTCTTCGCTGAAGCGGGGTCTGGTTTCTTATTCGCACCCGGAACCGACGGTATCGATAAATCCTGCACTTGGGAGAGGGGAGATTGTAGTCTTCGTTGCTGATTTCTCTACGATCTTTAAATGGTACACGCCAATTGGCTACAGATCATAACGAGAGCTGGTGTGGATCGCCATCGCGGTGGAACCTCCCTACCTAGTGCCGTTTTTCTCTTTTCTTTGTCCCTTGCCTCGTATCATGACTTCTGAGTACTGCCGATCCACCAGAGCACGGATGTAGAGAGCACTCGGCACTCAATGGTGGTTCTCTCATCCGCCAACCAGAAGATGCAGAAGTAAACAATGCGGTGGCAGCTCTGTCAAGACGGCCAAGAAGTGGTTCCTGCAGGAAAGCCAAAGCGGGAAGGGATCCTCGCCCAAAATACCACAGGCCCCATTTCCATAGAGCTCCACCTCTCTGCTCTACCATCAATTTCTCTACAACAAGTTTGCTGGCATGCCGCTGCGAATCCGTTCAGTTATGAATGCACAAGGGGTAATTTGGGATCCACGTTCAACCCAACTCATCCTAACAACACGATACTCGCCCCGGTTGTTCCTCCGCAAGCGTTCTCGAAATGTCTCGCGCGTATAAATACACCACGGGTGCCGCCAGGAGGTGGCAGCAGCCGTTCCCCTCAATTTTCGCCTTCACAATTCGATTTGGCTCAGGATGGCTTTCTTTAGCCATGGGATAGCTCTGTTGCTCACATTGCTCCTGTCGCTGATATCATGGGCACATGCGTCGGACCAGGGGGTCAAGGCCACAGGCAACACGGTGCGCTTTAATCTCACTCTGACGTGGGAGGACTGGGCACCGGCGGGTACAACCCGGAAGACAATCCTTACCAATGGGCAATTCCCCGGTCCTTTGCTTGAGGTGGACCAGGGCGATGATGTGGAGGTTATGGTTGTCAACCAGCTTCCTCAAGGGACTACAATGCATTTCCATGGTGAGTTTCCTCGCCCTAGCCTTACTATGCTAAGAGGATCTAGTTGCTTAGTTTCTAACTTCTGTCTTCGCAGGGATCCCCCAGATAAACACACCGTGGTCGGACGGAACGCCGGGCCTGTCCCAGAAACTGATCCCATCGGGTGGTCAATTCCTCTACAAATGGCGCGCGACAGAGTACGGGAGCTACTGGTATCATGCTCACTCACGGGGACAACTTGAAGATGGATTCTACGGGCCTATCTACATACGACCGAATAGATCGGTGACAAGGCCATTCGGACGGATCACCACAGATAAGAAGTCTCTTCTTGCCATGCACAAAGCGGAGGACACGACTACACCGATCATCCTGTCGGACTGGCGACAATTGACATCGGAAGAGCTGTGGGATGCTGAGCAGGTGTCGGGACTGGACGCGATGTGTGCCAACGCTCTCTTGATCAACGGCAAGGGGTCGATAAGCTGCTTAGGTAGAAACAACCTGATGTCGCTCCTATCCGACGCCCGAAAGGAAGTGCTGGGCGGTAACATAACTGACATCGGGTATGCGAAAGGCGTGAGATCATGAGTGTTTTAAACCCTGCTGACTATATAGGTGCATTCCGCCTGTGAATACAGGTGCCCAGGGCGATTACCAGCACAACATGAGTGCGCTTCCCCAATCGGTCTTCTCGGGTTGTACTCCCTCTGACGGCCCGACTGAAACAATACTCGTCAAGCCCTATTCAAGATATGCCAGTTACGATCTTATCAGCGCGGCTGGTGTTTCATCGGTCATTTTCGCCATTGATGAGCATCCCATGTACGTCTACGCCGTCGACGGACGATACGTCGAGCCTGTCTTTACTGATGCAATTGCTGTCCCTAATGGAGCTCGTTATTCCGTCTTGGTCGAACTTGATAAGCCGGCGGGTGATTACACCGTTCGTCTGGCAAACCACGGGCTCACTCAGATTATCAACACTACTGCTATAATGTCCTACGATACGACTCATACCACCCAGACAAATTCGTCTACCCCGTCGATCAATGTCGGCGGAGGTGTCATATCGGAAAATTACATGCTTGCAGATGAGACCGCGTGGGTTCCCTTCCAGGTGGAGATACCATCTCAGGAGGTGTCCCAGACGCATGTCCTCACTATTGACCACTACGGCACATCATACCGCTGGACCATGGGCAACTCCAGCTATCCTCTTTCCCTTGAGGAAGAGTCTCCGGTCCTGTTCGATCCCTCATACGCGGAACACGATCTCAGCATCCAAACCAACAACGGCACCTGGGTCGACTTGATCTTCCACATGGTCAGCACGCTCCAGCCCCCTCATCCGATCCACAAGCACTCCAACAAATTCTTCGTCATTGGCCATGGAGACGGCGAATGGAACTATACGTCTGTGGCCGAGGCCGCGGAGCTAATTCCGGAGAGTTTCAACTTCGAAACCCCGCAGATTCGTGATACTTTCATCACTCCTGGGGCTGCCACAGGGAATAGCTGGCTGGCGATCCGATACCAGGTGATCAATCCCGGGGCGTTCTTGTTGCATTGCCACATCCAGGTTCATTACAGCGGGGGTATGGCTTTGGCCGTACTAGACGGTGTGGACGCATGGCCCGAGGTCCCTGAGGAATACCGAGATTCGTCGGGATTCAAATCCGAGCAGACGCAGGCATGACTAAATTGATTTCTGGGGTAATGAAATCTATCTGATGTATGTAATGACAACTCTATAGACCCAGAGGGACTCGCATCTCTCCCAGATACCTACTAATAAATAATCAATAATGAATAATAACCAAATCGATAAAAAACCGCACGGGATGCACAACCTGCATAACCTGAGTCAGCTAGGCACCATGCACAAGTATGCGCTCCCCCTTCGTCCATGGTTACTTGGTTAGTCATGTGCGATCCACTCTTGCGGGGAAGCGGAACTGCGCCTCCTCTTCTTTTGTCTCTCTTTGTCCTCTTTGTTTCTCCTCTTCTCCTGGCCGTGACAATAACGAGTGACAAGCTCTCATCTCCTCTCTCGATCATTTCTGCACGGCCGGTGGGCATGGATGGTGCCTGTCTCGATGGCTCTACATCCATGCTGAGTCTGCTGTGTATCAAGCACCAGGAAGTTGTTGGCGCCTGCAGGCCCTAACTAGTCGCTGCGACCGACCTCGCACTGGTTACCCGTTCGAGTATCTGAGGTGTCCACCCCCGGGTTTGGATGTGCCCCTATTGTAACACGTCATTTTTTGAAAGTTCCCCTCTCCGCTTAGAAAACCGAACATGGTTTTCTGCGGGAAGCCGAGCAAAGGTTGCGGCGAATGTCGATCGAGAAAGATCCGGTGCGACCAGGGCCGACCAACCTGCTCGCAATGCCTCAAAGGCAACCGGGTATGTCCCGGTTATCGGGACGAACTGTCCCTAATGTTCCGCGATGAGAGCCAACAAGTAGTCCGCAAGGCCAAGACCACGACGACGACGGCCGCCAGTCGTCGGGCCAGAAAGACCGCCCATCGCACGGCATCCTCGACCACTAGTAGTCCCCAATCGGACAAAAGGGGTCGGGGTCTTCCTGGTCCTGGTCCTGGTCCGGTCTCGATCTCAACGGATACTGACGTCTCCGATTTCAATAATAATCATGATGATGATCATGCTTCCCCCGATCTGCAGCTGTCACCGGTGACGGTGCAGCAGCTGACTCCACAATCTTCCCCTATTGACTTTCAACCGTCCTATCAGTTCACCAAGGATGAGGCCGTCTGTTTCTTTCTGCGCTTCCATGCCTGGCCGGGCGTGTTTCGAATGTCCGAAGGCTCCACTGAGGTCTTTTCCCTTTCTGGGGCTACGCCGAGCGAGCAGGCTTTAAATGCCTGTATCATTTCGGTGGGCACAGCGATGCTCTCGCGTATCAGGCAGTCTGCGCAGTTGAAAATTGCCGCCGAGAAGGAGTACGGTCATGCGTTGGGTTTGTTGACTTCGGCCGTCGCGGACGAGGAAGAAGCTAAGTCGAATCCGACTCTTGCGGCAGTATTATTGCTGGCAATTTTCGAGGTAAGGAGTCCGGGCGTTATTCTTGATGGACGCGTTCAAAATAATGGTGGGGACAAGGGGCTAACAGCGAGCAGGTCATCACGAGTAGGACTCTCCGAAGCTTTGAGAAATGGACGAATCACATTTACGGGGCTGCTGCCTTACTGGAATTGCGTGGTACTGAACAACTTCAGGATGAGGACGGGTTGAAGCTCTTTGTCCAACTGAGATTTCAAATCGTACGTCACCTCTTTGCTATGTCTTTAGGCACACGCATCCGCTAATGCATCGGCCATAGATTATCAGTTGTTTACAGAAAGGGGCTCGCGTGCCCCAGCCAGTGCTCGAATGCTCAAAGCTTGCCATGTTCTTACGCCCACAGTCAGAGGCATATGGCGATCGCCTGATCAGCATTGCCGGCCGACTGTCCAATCTCCGGGCAGATATCAACGCCAAGATCCTGACGGACCAAAAGGAGATCCTATCTACAGCGTATACTATTGAGGCGGAACTGATGGCCTGGATTGCCGCTCTTCCGCCCGAATTTCTCTACACAAGTATCGAGGACCCGAACCCCGACCTGTTGGCTCAGAGGATAGGCAGCGGTCCTGCCCCGTACGGCGGGCGCTATCACATCTACCGTGACCTTTGGCTCTGTCACACCTGGAACCAATACCGGTGTTCCCGGATCATCGTTAGCGAGATCATATTAGGCTGTCTCCGGCGAATCGCCATCAACTCGAAGGCGGCGGCGGTGTCGAGTGAACTCCAAAGCCATTGCAGTCGACTGCGCAGCACCACCCGCCAGTTGGCCATGGATATCTGCTACAGCGTGCCTTTCCATTTCGGCGTCGGCAACGTGGCAACGAAACCCCTCGACAGCGTCCCCGTAGGCCAGAACTACCTCGGCGGCTTAATCCTCCTCTGGCCGTTAATCCTGGCCGGAGCCACGGAGAGCAAACATCATCCTCTCCGGAGATGGGTTATCGAGTGTCTGTACGTGATCGGACACAGCATGGGCATCGACCAGGCTCTTCTTCTCATTGATATTCTAGAAACTGAATCCGGCGTGTTCGACGGCGTACAGGACGGCGAAGACGGTGTTTTCTTCCGCGAGGCGGGCGGAACCACTGCCGGGAACAAGGTCTTGACAGGGACCTGGGGTCCTTGATTCTTTGATTCTTTCGTACATGTTTTCTGGCTCTTATGATTTTAGTTTTACATATGGTGGATATATTTTTGTCGGTGCGGTGAACCTCGCTAATGATACCTTTGCTTTCTTTCTCCTTTTTTATCTCTCTTGCTTGTCAAACTTGGGTCATATTGACACCTCTGTGTAACGATGAAATTACTTGTCTGCGTTCGCCGGGTGATGGTTTATAGGCACACTGTGATGAAGAGCGAATATGGCTAGAAACTACACTAACTGTATTTCTAGAATATATAATATATATATAAATATATATATATTTTTTTTAAAAAGAAAAGAAATGCCTCTAGAAGACCAGATATGTAAAATCAATAATTAACTATCCAGAAAGAAGAGCAATGTAGAACAGGGCTGTGCACGGGCAGGGCAAAGGAAGTGCACCCCAACCCAACCGCGAAAGTTCGGTTCGTTTGTTGCTGCGCCTGACTTGCCCGGTGCGGCGCAGCCTTATCGCGTTGAACGCCCCGGCTTCCACACTTGCTTGTCCAATGTTCGACAACTATGTAATATCCATACCAAGGAAGTGGGTGAGGTTTTTTGTATTGTGGCTGTGTAGCTAAAGTTTCTGCATGTTTTCCGTTTACTCGTGGGATCTTGCAGGAACTTTCTTTTACTAGGGTAACCTAGGTAGGTAAGGAAGTCTGCCTGGGCCCTGGATACTGGACCTACCTACCTAGTACCCATTACTTGATCTATAAGGTATGGAATTCATAGTCGGGGTGCCTATAATACTCCGTACTAAATCAGCCTTATGTATGTGAGTCAGTCAACGTAGGGCTGTGGGCTTATATTCTCCAAGAGTAAGTTTACACTTAGATGATAAATATTCCAACTAACTAATTAGGTAGTGGGTTGGTAGAATTAATCCTCCGAATGATCGAATATGTATGCCTTGTTTCTGCCTTAGATTAGTGAATGCGTTCGCCTCAAAGTCATCACGAAGTATATATGGTGGGTAGGACGACATGTTCCGGAGAGAAGGGTGGCTTAGAGTCATAGCTTGTCTTTGTCACTGTTGCATCACTCTTTCTTCTTTTCGACCTTTTCCTCTTGCTTGAAGCTTCTGCGTTTATTTAAGGAGAGTGGTTTGTCTATCGCCCTACCTGCCCACCTGCCTGTTTTGGGGTTTTCTGCAGTAGTGACTACGTACTCATTGTCCCATTCTTCGATGGTATCAACCCACGACCTACGGCCTCACTTTCAAACTATCCATCACTTCATCGACAGACAACCCCTCATCATGGGTCACCGTCACTCGAAACCCACCGGATTCGCACCCAGTCGAAGCATGAATCCCGAGCCCCGAGATCGAGGAATGTCTGGAAAGCAACAGAGAGCGAGCGTTCAGCCGGCGCAATCAAACCCCCAAACCCCCAATCTCTGGGCACCTCCACCGTACGAGTCGCACGCCACGCCCGAACCCTCAGGAACGACAGCAGCGGCATCGCGACCGGATGACTCGGCCTATTCGTTCCTCGGAGAATTCGATACCATATTCGTGGTGGATGACAGTAGCAGCATGCGCGGACGCCGCTGGAAAGAAGCTGAAGACGCCATCGCCGCCATCGCACCCATTTGTACGCGCTACGACCAGGATGGCATCGACGTTTACTTTTTGAATCATCGTCGCGAGGCGACGAGGGCCACTGGCGGCGCCTACTCCAATATAACCACTGCTGACGACGTGCGTGAGATATTCAACTGTGTTGAGCCGTGGGGTCCAACGCCCTTTGGGAAGCGGTTGCACGATATTCTGGGCCCGTATCTACGCCGCGTGGAGAGTATGGAAGGAGGTTACGGTCCAGTCGACCCTGTGAAGCCGCTCAATATCATCGCCATCACGGACGGTGCGTTCACGGACGATGCGGAGAGTATTCTGGTGGACGTTGCCAAGCGGCTCGATTACTGTCGGGCGGTGCCGTGGCAGGTCGGCGTCCAGTTCTTCCAAATCGGGAACGACGCCGCAGCCCGCGCATATTTGCAGGAATTGGACGATGAATTGGGCAAGAGAGCGCAGCAGGACCACCTCCGCGACATCGTCGACACGGTCCCCTGGAAGGGCAAGTCTGGCCAGACCTTGAGTGCGGGGGGGATTCTGAAATGTGTGCTCGGCGCCGTGAATCGAAAGTACGACAAATCGGACGCTCGGTGACCTCCTTTTCGTGTTGCTTGACAGTTTCTATTTTTGCTTGGGTTTCTTTGCTGTCATCTCCTGAAGGTGTTTCGGAGTCAGTCTCAGGTGCCGTTTTCCGGGACGTGTTTCAATTGGAGGCAATATGGCGTGCTCAGCCTAGGTGTCTGGAGTCGAGGCAAGATGGCGTTTTGATATTTAAGACTAATGGGCGACGCTCAGGGCTGTTGCAGGCCACATTAGTCTTGTCGCAGCAGACGCCGTGGTTGCCGCCGAGGGACCTGGACAGGGATTCGGCAGGGATGTGATGTGTTTGATTTGTTTATTGATATAGCGACGGTGGACTAGTCCGATTTTCTTCATCCCAGCTCTTTTTTTTTTTTTTTTTTGTCATTACGCCCCCTTATTTCGTAGCCTTACCCGAGTAGCACCCATCGCGGTGAATTCAAATCATCGACAATTGATAAACATCGTTATCGCATCCCCCTGAAGTTGTGTTCACCGCCAGGTCAGTGACCGAAGTTTAGTTTACCGATCGACAAGTCGGGAAAAGGAGAGCGAGGCTAGGAAGGCCAGGAACCAAGGGATTGGAAGGGGAAATCCTGGCGCTAACGACCAAAAGAAACCATCCAACCAAACCTTGACCGGCATACTGGGTGAGTAAAACTGTAAACGCTAAACTGAGTAAAAAGCCTCCTGTCAAGGGCCTTGATCGGCGACCATTCGATGTGGTTGCCCGGCAGGTCAGCAGCGCCAGGCAAGGGTGTCAGCCGTAGCAGAAAGAGAGTTACCAGGATTAATCGACGTGTGGTGGTGATGGCTGCGGTGATTTGCTCATACCCCTTAATGGAGTAATTCCGTCGCAATTCGTTAGCTGACTGGTCTATAGACGCGCCTTGGTCCGTGGGGTCGTACTAGCCCCGTGTGATATTGTATCGCTAGGGGTGGAACGACACGGAAGATTGACAAATCATGGCTTTTTGGCTGCCTTCCATGCAGTGTCAGAACTCTGGACTCGAGGAGTCTCGAGGAGACGTGGATGCTCACGATGATGAAACAATCGCCTTCGGGGAAGGTCCTTACGGAGGACGGAGTACGGACACAGACAGGAATTCCTTCTTCGTGGGTATCTGAGAAAAGTCGAGTCAACGGCACGTGTCTCTCACGTGGCATGGCCTCCCTATTCCGGAAGAGGCAAGCGGGGATTTTAATCTTCCCAATTTCCACTTCACGACGGAGATGTTCGCTCGCACGATGGAAACCACTAACTCAAATTGGCAGCACGTCTTAATAGTGTTTGCCGGTTCCTCGTTTATCTTAATTAGCCCGAGATCGTCTTTCTCGATGACTGCTGCATGTTGACATGAGGCCGGAGGTTCTGAACGAGAAAGCAAGGCACTGAGATTACCCTGCGGAGGATGATTGTTTATTATCCTGGCAGCAGGCAATTTCCACCCAGCAACGGCGTCGCCGAACGGTCTCTGAACCATCGGATTGGCTGCAAAACCTGCATGGCTGGCTGTGATTCTGATCCATCAACTTTTTTTTTCCGCATTCGGACTCCACTGCGGTACATTAGTCCCGCCGACTACTTTGGTTCGCCAGGAACGATCAACTCTTCCTGACCTCAGCCGGATCCGGCTCCGCTCAATGGTTGATCAAATCGCCTGGTTCCTAGGAACCATGCTTGGATCGGATCGTTTTCGCTCTTTTTTTGCTCACTAGTGCCGGCCGATGCGATGAAACTCCGACCTTTTCTCCCTGACCTGCAGGGATAACCTGCTCCCGGTCGTGACGTGGTGATTGCATTTCCCTGTGGATTTCTTCTAAGCGCGCTGCCGGGGTTGTCTATCAATTCAATTGATCAACCGTCACGGATTCTAACGCTTTTTATTTTATTTTATTTTTCTTTATTTTATTTAATTTCCTTTCCTTCCCTCGATCCGTTTGAATTTTAATAAACCCCGTCTCTCGCAGTGGCATAGCGAGTTTTCAATCTCTCCGAACTTTATTCCTCTCCTCCCTCTGACGGCGCTGCTTACTCAAAACTTCTTCGCGCCCAACCCTATCCCACGTGTGCAATCATATAAGAGGCCCATCTCGAAACGTCCAACAACTGCAGCAAGCGCTGAGGCTCCTCCACTTGTCCTGCCATTGTTCTCGACCCCGTCTATCCGCCTTGTCAGCGCTTCTGACCTGCCATCGCGCCGTCCCATTGGCTCTCATCTCAGTCTTTCTTAGCATCTTCGGCTCAGGGATATCCAAATTTAACCTCTGTGCCGCTGCGTCTACTGAATCACTGATCTCCAGGAGTCCCGGCGACTGTTGGTCTCAGGTTCCTTCCGACGTGTTATGGATCTGTGATTAGCTCGAGTCTCTCTGCCACAAAATCCGTTATATCGCCCGACTTTTCTTGCCGCCAGGCACAGCCGTTGACTCTTTGTCTTTTATCCGTGCTCGTTGAAGAATACTCGACGAGGCTCTTCTGGCCCTTAGGCGCAAACTAATATCCTAAAGATCTATTTCTGTCCAGGCTGGTTCTTGGGCAACGTTCCTTACTCTCGTTCCTTACCTTCTACTATATAGCCACGGCTTTGGTCACAACTCCTCGGGTTACCTATTATCGAGCCTTCCTTTGCTGCTACATTTTAGCGCCAGAAGTACTGTCTTATTCATACTTTAATACTTTTTCATCTTATTCAACCGCGAGACATTACACCATACTGTCATCATGTCTTCGACCACTTTGATGACGTTTCTGCTGTGAGTCGCATGCTTAAAATTGGCCCCGATATGTTTACTGATGTGTTTTTGTATTTAGTGTCCTCAGTCCTCATATCAAATCCGTCAAGCTCTTGGGCTCGTGGGATAATTTCTCCAAACCCTATTATATGGAGAGGGACAGACGCATCGGCTCAGGCCACTGGAGGGGCTGTCACACATTCACCGATATAATATGCGATGGATCTCCAACTAACATCGGCCCCGCACGCTCCGGGGGGCTCAAAATGGGTGGCACCTATTGGTATTATGTTCGTATCTCTCTTCAGACCTGCATCATCCTATGTCTAACTGAGAACAGTACTTGCTCGATGACGACGTGGAATATTACAACGAGGCAGAGCCTGTGACATCGCAGTGTCCTTTCCTTCCCGGTCAACCGGTCAATGTTCTTCACGTTCCTATCATCCTGCCGGACACAATTCCGACTCATACTCCTCGTGAGAGAAGTTGTAGCTCCAATAAGACCGATCAGCGAACCATGAATCCTGAGGATAAGTACATGAATCCTCGGCGCCCCCCGAAGCCCAAGCTTCATCGCCTCCGAACGTCACCTCCGCTTTTACAGCAACCGACGCCCGCTTGGTCTTTTAACGCCTCTCCCCTGGGCATTGTTACCCACAAGGCATCCTCTCAGCCCGGCAGTGCCACGCCCAATGCTCGAAATCGCGCCGGCTCCAAGGAACCTAATTGCAAAGCTGCTCGATCTGTATCTCCTCCGAGATCTCGAGGTCTGCGAGCTGCGTTCCGACACTGGAATGCATCCTCGCCGGAGTTGAGCGTCCCCACTCAAAGCACGGGCAATATGCCCGGTTTTGGCGCTTGTGGATATTCTTCGTCGCATAGTGAGGGCTATGAGGACTTGTCTAGGCCTCGTTCGCGTGGAGGTTGGAAGCAGCCCGTGTATAAAACCGAAACATCTCACCAGTGCATGGCAAACAACCCTTGGGTCCCTGCCCCAGCTGAATCTCATGATGTCGCGCCCTTCTCGATTCAAGAACGGCGCGCCATGAACCCCACATATAACGAGCGAACTCCGCGCAAAAATCCCCTCACTCTACAAACAAACCCGGGATCCGTGACTCCTCGCGGCCAGCGCAGCCCCAGGAGGCATTCTCGTACTGCCCAGGAGTCTTCTGTGGGTTCATACCCCTACTTAGGGACTGCGACCGTCGCAATGCCATCGGAGCTCGACGCTACAACGCCGACTCCGTTCACATTCAAGGAGAAGAGACTCCCAACGTTACCTAATACACCGTCGTCGGTCATGGACGAGGCACTGCGCGACCTTGATGACCGGGAAAGGGCACTGGATACTGAGAATTTCGGAAGCCATTTCTCGGATTTCAGTGCAACGGAGGATTACATCGACTCCCCATGCGAACAAAGCCGCTTTTCCGAATGGAGTACCGACACGGAATTGATCTCTCCCGAGTCAATGACATCTTCTTTAACATTCAATAACGACTCCCAAACGCCCTCAATTATTGACCGACTGGAAGTTCCAGACCTCGATGATCACTGCACGGTCAACGAAACCAGCGATCCCGACACCCCCCACTTGACCGTGGCTTCCAAACCCTCTCCTACCACCCTCGGTGGCGATTCTCCCCGCTTCGATCTGCCTCCGCCTCGTCTGACCATTTCGTTTTCTCCGTCCGATCTTGATGTCCCTGGTCTGTGCATTCATGACGAGGATCATGTGGAAACGAACTCCAAACGACATGCCGCTTTTTTCGGGGGAATGGACCCGGTAGAAGCTCTGGGGATTGCTAAAAGCCCCGAAGCCGGCACGGTAAACTTCCCTGATGCGGTGAAAGCCGACATGTTTTCAATGATCGAGGGACGCCCTGCCACGGCTGAGAATAGCCACCGTGGCTCCAGGCGAGCGACCGTTGCCAGCCAGTCTGCAACGATGCAAGAAATGATCGATGAACTGAGTTATTTGAAGAATATGATTCAATCAGGAAATACGGGGGAGATCTAAGAGCTTTTGCTGGACAATGTGCTGGCTGTCATTTACAAATAGTATTTATTATGCCGATAGGTATCGACGATGTAGTTTAGAACTGAAATTAACGTCCCAAATTTTCAATAATCCTCCTCTTTCTGTCCAATATTAAGTAAATAGAATCATCGGATTCTACTAGAGCAATAAGTCGGTCATAATCGTCGCTACTTTGAGATCTTCTTTCGTTAGTGGACCAAGTGGCGGGCCTGATTGTTTAAGCCACAAACAACCCGCGCGCCAAGAATCCCGACCATCCCCATCTTTCCCTCTTGGGCCCAGGCCAGGAAGCCAGGAACACAAGCCCAGGTAAATTACCCATGCTCACCATCTCCATCTAATCGGCGAAGAATGGACTAAAGACGAGCTGTAAGACATGGCTGAAGATGGTTCTCAGCCTCAAGCTCTGCGCCCTGAGCTGCGGCTCCCTCCTGTCGCGGAGAAGTTATTGCCCGCAAAATGCAAGCCAGGCACGCTGACCTACTGTCCCACGATGGACCTCATTGCCTTGGTGACCGAAGACGACGAATTAAGTGTCTTCCGTCTCAACGGGCAAAAGGTCGTGGGGGGCTCGTTCAAAGGGGACCCGTATTTGGATGAAGATGACGGCCGTGGTGAAATTCGGGCCTTGACGTGGAAAAACAATGGTACGCCCCTGCTGCGTTCCATCAATTGCGCATTCTCCGGTTCTGTCTGAGAAATTCTATACACATTTACTTGTTTGCGAAGTTAACTCGGTTATAGGATACTTGCTTGCTGTTGCGTGCGCGGATAATACCATTCGCGTCATCAGCTCTTACAGTGGTAAAACTGTCCACCACTACCCTGCATATCGACCCCCCGGGGATTCCCCTCAGCCTATCAAGGTCACCTGCTTAGGATGGGGGGTGAACTTCACCGATAGTAAATCAGCACAGAGGAACCTACAAGAGGCCGCTGGGCATATCACCATTGAGGATCTTCTCGCTCCTAACGTCCATCCCTCGAAAGCGGCTGCCGTACTAAGGGTGGACTTGCCGAGGGAGCTCGCACTGCTGGACATTGAAACTTCACTACCCAAGCTCAGCACTCTGCCAGCTACTGGTGGCGAGTAAGTGACATTCTTGGTGCTGGCTTACCCGTCGACAGTGTCTAACTTGTGGTTACAGCGACGATGTCTTCAGCTCTCGATCATCTCTCGATGCCATGTTCCACTCCGCTGCTAAGAATACCAGTGACGCGGTAGATGTTCTGCTTGTCGGGTCCGATAATGGCACCGTCCATCTGCGTATCTTTGATTGTTTTGAAATCGGCTCCTTTGAGGTTGGCGCGTCTGTTGAGAACTCGAAATCGTGCCAGATCTTCAAACATGCATCGCATCCGTTGTGTTCGACACATGCACTGTTAGCTTCGACCCCTTCCGCAGAGGATGCCTCGAACTCTTTGCATCTAATCACTTTGGATCTTCGGTTCATTACACGATCTGGAAGATATCTCTCCCTTCTAGCGTACAAGACGACACAGCTTCAAAACTTGCTCCGCTATATTGGCCAAGTGCAGAGGCAAATCGAGCTGGAGTGGAAAAATGCCCAAGAGCTGCCAGCACGGTACATGCGAAGCATCAACGAAGATCTGCAGGAAAAGTGCCATTGCGATTTTGTCACAGCTGCTTATCATCTAGTGGTAACCGGGGACTGCTTTGCGCCTCTCAAGGAATTTTTAGTTGATATTGTTGGAGAACGAGTACGCATGCCATTTGCACCCTAGGTTTATTTATCGTGATGATACTTTCATACTAATCGAATTTCATAGGGGCATAAACGGTGGGAGAAAGCCGTCGCAGGCGGCTACGAGAATGTGCGACGCTTGATTCACGAGTGTCTTCTTCCGGCATTGGAACGTTGTCAAGTGCTGCTCAGTCGACTTATTGGGCTTTCGAAATTCCACAAATTGAGCGAAGTTCTGGGTCTGGAAACATCTGATCTCAATGCAATTGTGGAGACGATGGACTGTCTTCAATTACTATCTCACCATATTCTGATACACAGCAACGATGAAATGTGCCAATTTGAGTCCTTCTCCAAGTGGCTCCGTCATGAGATAGACATGCAGGCCGCCGAGCCTATGTCACAAACGCTTGAAGAGCTGATGGAAAAGTCCGACATGATCGAGTATCCACAAACCCTGAAATATATCAGAGGAGCTCTCACCAAGAGCACACTTCGCCATTATATCCAGCAGCTGCCGATGATGGGGATGCCGAGACCGACGTCTTCCGCCTCCGACAAATGGGCACCGACGGGTCATGACCGGTCCTTTTACGACACGTTCAAGAAGCTACTTGAGCAGCAAAACCAGAACCCTGGCGACGTTGACACGGCGAAGCTACCCAAAATCAATGACCTGACGAAACGTCTAAAGCTGCAATTCGACAAGGTCTTTGGGCAAATTGCGTTGACGCAACGTAGGGGAATCCTTCATCGATCACCCCTTTCTCTCGACCCCGATTGCGATCAGAATGTCATTGACATGACAATGCGCTACGAGGTAGGGACATTGCTCTCTTGACTGTGGAATACCGTCGCTCACCACTCCTCTAGGATATCGACAATCAGAGTCTATGTGTGATCTATGTGGCAACGAGATCAATCAACTCGAAGCACCTCAGTGAGTGACGGCATCGCCCTCCCGAAGACATTCAATGAAGAATACTTACTGACTATGTTTTAGTGTATATGTACCGTCTGGTCCTTGATTCTGCAAGTGGTGTCAGTTCCACACGCAACATTTCCATAGGAACCATTGACCTGCAAGAGGGCCAGATCCGACAGGTCCAGTTCGTGGAGGATAATACGCTCATGGTCCTTTGGGCGGACAGTCGTATGCTACACCTTCCTTTCGCCTAGTGCGGTCCAGACTGCGAGTATCTACTAATGCTTCTCTACAGGAGGATCTTCTTCTCTTCTGAATTTCGCTTTCCAGCCCATACCGCCGGGAACAGCTGACGCGGCCTCCATTTCGGCGTCGCCTCTTTTCATCGAGTTTCACGAATACCACGGACAACCACTCTCGCCTCGACCAGCCGGAAGTACGATAGCACTGGATCTTGTTTCTCTCGAATCTCCTTCGGCCGACCTCGTCAAACATGCATTTTCCGTGTTCGGGCCCAAGGCCAAACCTGGCCGAATCGACACCAACGGACGAAGCGGCCGGCGGGCCGTCTGCGTGCTGTACAATGACGGCCTACGATATGAGGTCCTGGACCTGGACGCCGAAATGGTCGACGAGGGAGAAGACAACGAGGACGACGAGGCTGGAAGCGAATGAAGCTGCCTGTCTTTGCGATCCGGTTAGAATCGACTAGCAAACATAGCGAGACTCCGTGGCGGTGGCGAGAATGCCAGACGTCTAGTGCTCCGTATCGGGTCTCCCTTTTGTTTCATAGTCGCATTGTCGGAGAAAGGGCTTTGAAACAGAGATCGGCCTACGGCAATGATCGTCAGCTCTGGAATCCCGGTGCCTGCAGGTTGATTTGCCACTGCAGACCGAGTGTATTAGGTAATCATGACTCGCGAGTGCATTAAGTTACGATGACGGTACTGATATTTCTTTGAGTTTACGGCATTTATTTGCTAGTGAGGTAGCCTTTGTTAATGGAAATTCTTTACTCCATCCATTGGGCTTTGTTTGTTTATTTGTATCTTGGACAGCTTTAGGGCACTGGGGCCCTTGGGGGGGGGGGAGAGCAAATAATTGTTTGTGCGATGGGGTTGACGCCCTGGTCACCGGGGCCACAGAAAGTGGGCGGTGGACAGCTTCTTCAAGCAGCAAAATCAAAACAAGCAGAAGTGGACGGGGGCAACGGGCAAAGAGGGGCAAAACATGCCGTAATGACGGGCGTCACAAATACGGCGGGAGGGGACTGCCTGGATGCCTGAGTCTGCCTGAGTCTGCCTGAGATGTGGGGAGGAGTAGATCCACTCTGTGTCTGCGTACTCCGGTGTAGGTCAGTAGCCTGGTAAGTAGGGAGCTACCGGAAGCTGCATGTACGGTAGATGCCATCCCGGGTTCGCTTCCAGCTGATCCGTAAGTCAATATGATAGATAGAAAACCCGGTCGATCTGTTGGCCGTGGTTGCTGCTGCGATGATTTGCTGCTGTGCCGGGGAGTCTTCACGTGATGCGTGACTAATCGTGTCCTCCTCGACCAATCACCGACCCACAACGGGCACGGCTCCGCCGGCAGATTGGGTGCCTCAGGCGGCGAGAGCCAAGAGCGCCCTGCGTTCGGTCTCATTCTTCTGCTGTGAAGGAATCGCCCTGACGGTATTATTGCCTTTGCGTTTCTTTCTCTCGTCTTCTTCCCTTTCTTCTTCCTTCCCTTCCCTGCACTTCCCCCCCTCCGTCTGGAATCTCCCTCTTCGATCTCTGCTCTAAATCCTGCGATCGCAGCAGACTCGATTTTCACCTTCCCTCCCCTCCCTTCGCCTCTCTGAACGCCAGACTCTGGGCTTAATTTTCTCCTTGTTCTCCTTGCTCGGGCGTGCACCACCGCCGCCTATTTCTCCCTCTTGTGCTACCCCCGGAAAAGACCTGGTGCATGCCTCGTCATATATCCACAAAAACAACCTTCGGTCCCAACACCACAAAATAACTATCCCACACTGACTCTCTTTTTTTGGGTGGGGGACTTCTTCATTATCATCTGGTTGCTTGCTCGGTTTTAATTTACCCCGAGCTGCTTCTTTTCTTTTTCCTGTCTTTTTCTTTTTCACTTTTTCGCCCGTCATTTCGCTAGTGACAGTAGACGCATTTCCGCTTCAGGCAAAATGAACGTCACCCAGGTGTTGGAGAGCACTTTGTCGCCAGGTACTGCGATGGCCCCTCCTTGTTCCCCGTTGCTCGTAAAATAGCTATACTTATCGATCGGTTTGCTGACGGCATGTTTTTGTTGTGATTTCCAGATGCGACGGCACGTGCCAACGCTGAGCAGCAGCTCCTCCATGCGGCGGAGGTTGACTTCGTATGTTCTCACCTCGCCTCTGCTTCACCTCATGCGCCTCCTTGCAGGACTTCTGGGAATGCGACGTGCTAATCACTGACCGGTTTCCCCTCTTTTTAGGCTCAATATCTCGTCGCTCTCGGCCAGGAACTGGCAAACGAAAACACTGCGTCCCACATCAGAACGGCCGCCGGTCTTGCGTTGAAAAACTCTTTCACGTTTCGAGATCTTGCTCGACTACGTGAGGTGCAGAACAAATGGATCAACCAGATCAACCCCGATATCAAGCGCCAGGTCAAGGAGCTTGCGTTGAAGACGCTGGAATCAAAAGATGGTCGGGCTGGTCAGTCCGCCGCTCAGTTTATCGTCTCGATCGCCGCAATCGAACTGCCTCAGAACCAATGGCCGGAACTTATGAACATCCTGGTTCAGAACGTCGCTAGCGGCTCTGACCAACTGAAGCAGGCCTCGCTGGTCACCATCGGCTTCATCTGCGAGTCTCAGGACATTGAGCTTCGGGAGAGCTTGGCCGCCCACTCCAACGCCATCTTGACCGCCGTGGTCCAGGGCGCCCGCCGCGAAGAGACCAACTTGGACATCCGTTATGCTGCTATCAAGGCCCTCAGTGATTCCGTGGATTTCGTGCGCGTGAACATGGACAACGAAGGCGAACGGAATTACATCATGCAGGTTGTCTGCGAGGCTACGCAGGCTGAGGATCTCCGCATCCAGGCCGGCGCATTCGGCTGCTTGAACCGTATCATGGGACTGTACTACGAGAAGATGCGCTTCTACATGGAGAAGGCTCTCTTCGGCCTTAGCGTAATGGGCATGAAGAGCGAAGAGGAAGACGTTGCTAAGCTTGCTATCGAATTCTGGTGCACCGTTTGTGAGGAGGAAATTTCTATCGAAGATGACAACGCTGCGGTTCGTTTACCCACTCTTAAATTCTCTTGTCCATTCATGTTGCTGACGATATATGCTTCAAAATATAGGCCCAGGATGAGGGAATTGCTGAGATGCGCCCCTTCTTTGGTTTTGCTCGTGTGGCTTGCCGCGAGGTCGTTCCCGTCATCCTGCAGGCTATGTGCAAACAGGACGAGGACTCTACGGACGACGAGTACAACGTTGCTCGCGCTGCCTATCAGGCCCTGCAGCTCTACGCGCAGTGCATCCAAGGCGATGTCATCGCTCCTGTGCTCGAATTCGTTGAAGGAAACATTCGCCACGAAGACTGGCGGCACCGGGATGCCGCCGTGGCAGCTTTTGGCGCCATCATGGATGGTCCCGACCCCAAAATTCTCGAACCCCTTATTAAGCAGGCCCTGAGCGTCCTCGTTGGCATGATGGAGGACAGCTCTATCCAGGTCCGCGATTCGGCCGCTTATGCCCTTGGTCGCGTATGCGACTTTTGCTCTGAGACTCTAGACCCTGACGTGCATTTACAACCCCTCATTTCGTGCCTCTTCAACGGCCTCGCCAGTACCCCTAAGATCGCCAGCTCTTGCTGCTGGGCTTTGATGAACGTCGCCGATCGGTTTGCCGGTGACCTTGGCGCCCAAACGAACCCTCTGTCGAAGCATTTCCAGGAAAGCGTTAAATCGCTTCTTACATTGACCGAACGGTACGTTCAGACTTGATATCCCCTTTCTCCGGCGCAACCTTTTTACAACGAGGGGGGCTGGATCTCTCTTTCCTTTTTTGCTCATAGCAACCAAATCTAATATCAAGCAGGCAAGACGCAGACAATCAACTCCGCACCGCTGGATACGAAGTTTTGAACTCCTTCGTGGGCAATGCTGCCAATGACAGCCTTCCCATGGTTGCCAGTCTCTCCGATATCATCATTCAGAGACTGCAGCACACCGTTTCTATGCAACAACAGGTTGTCAGCGTTGAGGATCGCATTACTATGGAGGAGATGCAGACTAGCTTGACCAGTGTTCTTCTGGTAAGAATAAGATTTAATGAGAAACTAGGATACTTTTGCTAACAAAGACCAGGCTATCGTTCAGCGTCTTGAGACCGAAATCAAGCCCCAGGCTGACCACATCATGACCGTGGCAATTCAGGTCCTTAACACTGTTCCTCCCAAGTCCAGTGTTCCCGATGTTGTCTTCGCCACGGTTGGTGCTCTTGCCAGTGCTTTGGAAGATGATTTCGTCAAATATATGGAGTCGTTCGCGCCGTTCCTCTACAACGCTCTCGGAAACAAGGAGGAGCCGGCTCTCTGCGCAATGGCCATTGGCCTGGTTAGTGACATTGCTCGTGCTCTGAACGACAAAGTTCAGCCATTCTGCGACACTTTCATGAACTACTTGCTTGAGAACCTGAGTGTAAGTCTTATTTCATTACTGAGGGTGGAGCGAAATGAATTCTTACTAATATTCGCCTCAGACTTCCACCAACCAGCTGAAGCCTGCCATCCTGGAGACTTTTGGCGATATTGCCCAGGCCATTGGAACCGACTTCACCAAATACCTTCCTACCGTTGCTCAGGTGCTTAATCAAGCCTCGCAAGTGACTACCAGCCCTGATGTCAACATCGAGATGTTTGACTACGTTGTCTCCCTCCGTGAGGGCATCATGGATGCTTGGGGTGGTATCTTGCTTTCTTACAAGGGCACCGCTGAAGGTAAGAGTTCATCGGCAAAATAGCCTCGTACATGTGCTGACGCAATTACAGTTTCTCAACTCCAGCCTTTCGTCGAGACCATCTTCCAGCTACTCCATTTGATCTCTCAAGACTCCGGTCGTAGTGAAGGCCTCATGAGAGCGTCCATGGGTGTTATTGGGTATGTTGCCTATTCGAGAGTCATCAGCCCTCAAGTTCCGTCATGCTGACTAATATCTTCTCCAGTGATCTTGCCGATGCATACCCCAACGGTGAATTTGCCGCTTTCTTCCGCAACGACTGGATCAACAGCCTAGTCACCGAGACCAGAAGGAACAAGGATTTCGGTCCCCGTACGATCGAAACCGCCCGGTGGACTCGCGAGCAGGTCAAGCGCCAAGTGGGCATGTCCACGGCGGCTTCTATGGCTTAAGTGAACAGTCATTAGCTGACCAGTCATCGATCTCTCTCTGCGAGATCACACCGCCCCTTGGACCCCAGGCACCGGTCCTTTTTCGTTGGTGCACCCAGGGAAGAGGCGCCGTGACATCTGAGACCCTACCCCATGTTTTTGGAGTGAAATCAGTACCCTAAGTGGGAAACCTCAGTGTTATGCCACTGTTTGGTCGCTGCCAATTTTTGAGCCAACCAAGCCTGCGCGGTTTTTAGCGTCACAAGACTGGTTACTCGTCCTTTCTTTGTACGACTTGGACGCCTCAACCTTCACGACACTTACTGCCATGCCTGTTCCCCTTGCTCTCCCTTCCATTCTCCCCGTTTTCCCCCTTCCAACACAGCCCTATCCCCCTCCACTTAACCCCGTTATATTCCCTTACACCCCTCTTTCGACCTCGTGGACATACATTTGTCCGCGGAACCCATCTCCCCATTATGACTCCCGGATGCATGCTGTTACATTTTCATTGGCAAATGTTTGTCTTTTCTTTTGCTTCTTTCCCCCCCTTCTATTCGTTCTCATTTATTTCTTCTCCCTACTATTACTAGCACCTATTGTGTCATTGCACCGGCCCATTTATCTTTTCATTTTGCCCCCTCACGTCCATTTTAATTAGACAAAGATCATTATAGCCCTTTCTTATCCTTTCAAAACTCATGTATGCCCTGAAGTCATGTAATGCCTCTGAAAGAAACACTGCCATGAATTTTTTCCTGATCCATCCTCTCACGTATAGCCCCATCTGTGATCCACAAAACCTTGCATAGAGAGAATAATAGAACTTGGAACAAGTAGATGCGAGTGATCCGGTCGAAAACTTTGGCTGGATCGGTCCGTAGAGAGACCGTGAGGGAGCCCAAATGCGGCTAAGCGCACAGGGCTGTGATGCCTGAGGCCACAAGAGATTTTAATCAACACGTGATCAGATAAGGGTACAGGGCGGGTAGCCCTAAGCGCGCACATCTGCCGAAGCCTCACCAACTTTTCACGCCGAGCTTTTGCTTCCTGTCCACCCCATCCATCCGCTTCTCACCAGCCTTGTCGGTACGACCTTCGAGGTATGTTTTATATGCATTCCACACCCCCCTCGCAGTCTCTCAGCTAGTCTGGGGAGAGCAATCACTCGGGCGACTTTTGGTTTGGCAATGATGGCAATTGAAAAAAAAAAAAAAAAAAAATTGATCGACAGGCCGCAAGCGACCGAGTGATACGCATCTCTCCCACGGCACGAGCTGAAGAACCCTTGATGGACTCAAAGGGGCACTCTTTGCGCTCGAAGACTACTGGTGGCTGACTTTTACGGAACCCCGAATTCCTCGTTGTCCACCGATTCGATTCGGTGGGGATTTCGAGGAATGGGTTCAAAAATCTTTTTTAGATACCTCATTTCGTGATTTAAAAGCACTTTGATCTGAGAATCTCGATCAGCCAAACGTCAAAATGGTCAAGACTTCCGTCCTCAACGATACGCTTAACGCTATCAACAATGCCGAGAAGGCTGGTAAGCGCCAGGTTCTGGTCCGCCCCAGCTCCAAGGTCATCGTCAAGTTCCTGAGCGTCATGCAGAAGCACGGTATGTGATTGATTTTTACTTTTTTTTTTTTTTCTTTACAAGTCCTGTTTGATCTCTGCCATGTTTTGTTCTTTTTTTGTATCGCTGGAAAACAGCATTCGGTTTGATAACTAGGCGGCGATTTCGATCTTAACCCACTCCACGACGTCCGCCCTTTAAGTAACCGATAAATTAAGTCATGTTTTTCGAAGCATGGCAGAGATCTTACATGTTTCCGGGCCTTTTTTGTTTTATGTTTGGCAACTTTTAAATCTCTGCTACATCCCACTGACCCTCAATCTTCTTGGAAGGCTACATCGGCGAGTTCGAGGAGGTTGACGACCACCGTTCCGGCAAGATCGTCATCCAGCTGAACGGCCGTCTCAACAAGTGCGGTGTCATCAACCCCCGCTACCCCGTCCAGCTCCGTGACCTCGAGAAGTGGGCTACCCAGCTCCTTCCCTCGCGTCAGTTCGGTTTCGTCGTCCTGACCACCTCCGCCGGTATCATGGACCACGAGGAGGCTCGCCGCAAGCACGTTGCTGGCAAGATCCTCGGTTTCTTCTACTAGACAACCAACAAAAAAAAGTCATTGTCAATACCCGTGCATCGGCGCTAGGATGAGTCTTGGTTTTGAATAGATGAGCAAGGATATGTTCTCAAGGGAAACCCTGTCTAGGCGAGCGAGTCTAGGATTTACTACCCCTGGCAGAAACGCCATAGATAGTTTTGAGTGAATCTCGCTCAAGTCGAAATCAAGTCACCTAGTTCTGATCACAATTATTTTTCCAAACGTAGGGTCAATTTGTAATCGCCTCATCGTTCAGAATTTGCTGATTTTTCCACAAGGGGAACCATCGGTTGCGGTCAACCTGGGCCGAGGGTGTCTCTGACCGCCTCCTGATTCTGCCCCTTATGTCTCTTCTCCCCGCAATCCCCAATTGATAAGAGCCCGGCTTTCTTCTGTACTTACTCCCAGCCATTCTCCTGTCCTCGTCCTCTTCAGACATTCTAATCCATCATTTTGATCTTTATCTAATATCCTCCCCACAATGCCCCTTGACACAATATACCTCACCCGCCATGGTGTGAGTACTTCTCTCCTTCTGTTGCCCAGATATATACATGCATATCACGCCCTAACCAAGACCCCAATGATAACAGCACCGTCTGAACTGGACCATCAATTACAAAACAGGGACCTATATCTCGCAATTCCGCACCCCAACCGGCAACCCGGCTGACCCTACCCTCACCTCCCACGGCGTGCGTCAATCGCACGAGCTGGCGGCTCACCTGTCCAGCCCGTCGTTTCACCCGAAGCCGTTCCGCGTCTACTCGAGTCCGTTTTATCGGTGTCTTCAAACTATTCAACCCTCTGTTGAAGCGTTGAAGGAGAGGCAGCGGACGCGGACGAATGAGGGGGAGGGAGATGGGAAGATTGATGAGAATGCGGTGTTTGATGTGAGAATTGAGAATGGTGTTGGGTAAGTGATCATTCTACCAGACATCTAATACTTAGTTAGCTTGCCTGGCAGACAGACCAGGTCAAGCCTAGACTCTACTTTACTTCGCCTTCCTCTCTACATGAGAAACACAACACCCACGCTAACAAATAACCCCATTTAATAGAGAATGGTTCGGCCCGACCACCTTCTTCCACCACCCATCCCCCGCCTCCCCAACGATCCTCCAAACCCACTTCCCCAGCATCTTAGCCCCCTCATCCCCAGAAACCAACACATACACCTACAAACCCATCCTCCACCCCTCCACGCGCGGCGAAACCATCGCCCAACTACACGACCGCGTCGCCACTACCCTCTCGGCCCTGATCGCTGACGCAGACGCCGAGATCGCAATCCTAGAAGCATCCCAGGATCCAGCGGAGAGGACGAGCAAGGCGCTTCTCATCTGTGCGCATGCTGCGCCGTTGATTGCCATGGGCAGGGCCTTGACGGGGAATATGCCTGCGGATAGTGGGGAGGAGGATTTCAATGTGTTTACGGCGGGGTTGAGTACCTTTGTTCGGAGGGGAAAGGTTGATGGTGGTGATGGGGCACTATCGACGAGGTCACTGGCGCCAGGGACGCAGGTCGTTCGCGCGGACGTCAAAGTACCCGAGTGGCAGGGTGGAAGAGGCGTCGGGGGTGGGTGGGATTGTGTTACGAATGGGGATTGTAGTTTCTTGAGTGGAGGGGCGGAGAGAGGATGGTAAGTCAACAGTTCTGTCTGCGTTCTTGCTTGCTTTTTGTGGCCGGCCTGCTCTTTGGGAAGTACAGGTTTATTGAATGATTGTGCGGGGCTGACGTTGTTTTTCTTTTCTTCTAGGCATTTTGATGGCGATGAGTCGTTCGATACCGGTCCTATGGCGCCTGACTCGGCGTTGCCGACTTCGAGTCAGGATACGTCGGGGTCGAATGAGGGTGGGGTTTTGGGGACGACGAAATTATAGAGATGGTTTGATGATGGGTTGTGAGATATGCATATACAGTATATATACATTGGGTGAATCGTGGTTGTGTCTTCACGCTGAAGTATCGGAATAGAGATACAAGGACCTTTTTAGAAGTATATATTTTCATATCAGAGTCAAGTTCCCAGGTGAAAATATATATCACATCAGATTCCATAAACGTGCTATGCTAATACCAATCGCTCACTTCTAAACTTTAAGAAATATGTACAATAATAACCCAATAGATGATATCACGTTAAATGGCAGGCTTAAAAGATAAGTAAGAAAAAAGACAATTTCGAGCGATTACACCGCCCTGTTCTCATCTCCTTGCGATGCGACAGTAGCAGTCGCAGGTTGTTCGGGAGTAGGATTCTGCTGAGCCGGTTCAGCCCGAGCACTAGAGTCACGATCATCGTTTCTTTGCTCGTCATCTTCCTGCTGCTGCTGTGGGTGCTGATCCTGCGCCGGATTCGCAGCTTCTTCCTCCCGCTGCCGACGTTCCTCTTCTTCCCGCGTGCGCTCCGCATTCCGAGCTGCCTCGGCTGCGTTGCGCACTTCCACGTGCCGTTCGCCGACGCCGGGCACTAAGCTGGCAATGAACAGCGCCAGGGAACGCTCCACTCTGCGCAGGTTGTGACGCAGTTCCGTAGCGAGACCGGCACGGCCGCCGTCTCTGGCGGCTGCTGCTGCGGGCTGGTTTGCATTATTGGTTCCCGCGGCGGTTTCGGCGCCCGGGGCAAAATGCACCAGACCTTCTAAGTGCTGCTGAACTGGGGCGACGACCATCCGGTAGAGTTGTTGGGGGTAGCCGGTTTCCGAGAGTAAGGCTGCGAGGACGGCGAGTGATACGAACAGGACCCGGGTCCAAGTGTTCGGTTCGCTGAACATGTAGCAGAAGAAATAGAGGCGCACGAAGAGCCAGAGGCGTCGGATGCTGCGGCCGATTCCGATGCCGCCGTTGTTGGCGCCGGCTCGCTGGTTCAAGATGGCCTGGCGAACGGCGTTTTCCATGACAGCCGCATTGGGGTTGGGGTGTGCCTCTGCGGGGTGATGATGATGAAGTTGGTGGTGTCCGTGATTGGGTGCAAAGGCTGCATGAGAAGCTTGCGCGGCGCGAATAGCATCGATTGTGGCCTGGAGGCTTTGTGGTGTCCCCGGGGACGTGATGATCCCTTGATACCCATCCGGCGATGATAAAAGATAACGAGAAACCTGAGAGGACTCAAGGTCTCCGGAGATGTTGGTGGAGATGGGTTGCAGTGATGACGGCAACGTCGCCTGCATCACGCGCAGCTGGTCGGCTCGGGTGTAAATGTTGAAGACGCGGGTGAGCAGAGGTTCGATGGAACTATCTCGTTCCGATTGGGGTTTGCGATACTGCTCGTCGAGCAGTTGGAGTAATTGCGTCCGCAGTTGAATGATCTGGTCGATCGGAGGTGCGATCCCGCGGCTAACTTGGTCCTCAAAGTAAGTGACCTGAGGCTGGAGCTGCAGCAGACGCAGTCTAGCATTGTCCGAGTTGGCAGATGATGTGTTCGGCATGCCGAGGAACGGTGACTGGTTTCTCAAGGGTGTTCCGAGACTGTGGTGTATCGATGTTGTGACCGTGCTTCCCTGGCGCTCAGGTGGTAGCTGGGATACCCTTTGACCTTGCTGTTCCAGCCGTCGACGGATTGTCTCGAGGCTCTGTCGCACAGCCAGGTGCGCTTCCTCATGACTTGGCATCGGAGTTCCCGGGCCTCGGAACCTCAACGTCGATGATGTAGCTTGCGCATTGTTCGGCGGCGTAGATCCGCTGGCAAACGGAGTAGAAGGAATACTTGAGGGTGTTTGAGGAGGAGCCGCTGCAGGCAAAGTCGGTGTGTCATTGGCAGCTGGCGTGGGCGCCGGAGGAAGAGCGAGATGCATAGAATGTTCAGAGCCCTAGGTTCCGCATTCTGGTTAGTCTTGCCTGTCCTTGTCGAGGGACAGGATCAAATGATACTCACATTTTCCAGGTCCAACATGCTTCCCAGGGATATACTGTCGCTCGCGAGAGGTTTGCCGCGGTAGATAAGCCGCTGAGTTTCCGAGGACGGCTGACCGGGCAGCGATTGCGATATCCGGGCTTTCAGGCTAGCAACGGTGGTGGACGGAGTAAGATCATTGAAGGTGAAGCGGTTGGGCGGCGGTAGGGACGGACAGAGCACATGCAGTACGAGATCCTGCGAGCCGCTTGACTGATCGGTAGGAGGATTGGCAGCGTCTGAAGCAACGGAGCTGGACGCCATCTTTCGGGGGGCCGCTGGAGTGGAGGAGTTTGGGGCGCGCAAGTATATTAAGGTTCTAGGCTGGGATATTGTCGGGTTAATCTCCAGGTAGTGATATTGTAATGATGGTAAGGATGGATTTGCGCACGGTAGATATATGAGGGCAATCGGGCAGGGAAAGCTCCGGTGATAAGCCGTTGAGCTTGATGACGACGTGTCCAAACGAGTGCTGAGGATGACGTTTGTTAGAAGGGGGTCTAGAAAAATGAGTCCAGGGCCGGAGTGATTGCTGTTTCGGAAGATTTCAGACCCGAGATGCACAGACTAGACCTCACACACCACACAAAAGATGAGAGAAACCAGCCTCTTCGTGAGAATGCGCAGTGCAGAGGGGGGGCGTGACGAAGAGGAGAGATGAAGCGACAGCGCCAGACAAGCATTCTGCCGGGCGGTGAGCCACCCCGTGACATGATGCAAAAGCGCGCATTTTTCTGTTTAATTTGACTTGCGCCGCCGATCAGTTTCTCCTCTCGAGGTCGCAGTCCAGCGAGCCCTTTTATTTGGTTCTATTGGCCCAGAGAATTTCCCCTCTCTTGGATGTCGTTCATGGTGTAGACCATAACTATGGCCCTGTGCCTCCCCGCTCGTTCTGCGCCTTTTCGCCGGAACTTTGCTGCCTCTCCCAAGGCTGGTGTGTTAGATATGGTGGCCTTGAGAACGACTGGTCAGCGTAAGACCGGTGCTAGGAACTTCTCCAAATCATGGAAACAATGTCATAACCAACAGCAGCAGGAAAATCCCGGCCCAAAGGGTTTCTTCGGCTCCCGTCTTCGCTTTGCTCTGCGCAACACCAAAGTCGAGTGGTATCCGATCCCCGTCGGCCTGGGTATCGGTCTCCTGGGTCTGCTGCAGTTTTACAAATATCAACGGGCGGAGCGTGAAAGAAGCGAGAGAGAGGCCGAGGAGGAGTCGTTCGAAGTCAGCAATCCTCCTCCCCGACATCGAATCCGACCCAGCGGACCATGGCAGGTCCAGATCATGTCCACTTTGCCGCTCAAGGCGATTTCTCGTCTCTGGGGTCGCTTCAACGAGATCGAACTCCCCTACTATCTTCGTGTGCCTGGTTTCAAACTCTATTCCTGGGCTTTCGGCGTGAACCTGGATGAAGTAGCCGAACCCGATCTACATACTTACCCGAATTTGGCCGCCTTTTTCTACCGCAAGCTGAAGCCCGGCGTGCGGCCCCTGGACCCTGACCCGCACGCCATGCTTTCGCCGTCCGACGGGCGCGTCCTCCAGTTCGGCCTCATCGAGCGTGGCGAAGTCGAGCAGGTGAAGGGCGTTACCTACAGCCTAGACGCGCTGCTGGGTGCTGCCACGCCATCGAACGCTGACCATGCGAAGAAGTTTACCGACCACCAAAAGGAGCAGTCCCCGAAGGACGCCGCCAACATGCTGGCGGACGAGGAATTTGCCCAAATGAACGGTATCTCGTACACGCTGCCAACGCTCTTCGCCGGTGATGAAGGCGGCGGTGCCAGGAAGCGGTCGGCATCTCTGGACGCATCCACCGAGTCGAAAGCCTCCGCGGAGGCCGAGGTGAAAGCCGATCTCGCTCTTGGGGATGGTACGCCTTGGTATGCCCCGAAGCCGGCCTCAGACAATGCTCTCTACTACGTCGTGATTTACCTGGCCCCTGGCGACTACCATCGGTTCCACTCCCCCGTACCCTGGGTCGTTGAGTCCCGTCGACACTTTGCAGGCGAGCTGTACTCGGTGTCGCCGTATCTGCAGCGCCATCTTCCGGGTCTCTTCACCCTCAACGAGCGAGTGGTCCTGTTGGGACGCTGGCGTTGGGGATTCTTCAGTTACACTCCCGTCGGCGCCACTAACGTCGGTTCGATCAAGGTGAACTTCGACTCCGAGCTGCGTACCAACAGCCTTTCCACCGACACGGCCGCCGATATGGCCGCCGCCGTTGCGGCCAAGCGAGGCGAGCAGTACCCCGGATTCGTCGAGGCGACTTACCTTCACGCCAGCAGGACCCTGGGTGGACACCCGCTGCAGCGAGGTGAAGAGATGGGCGGATTCCAGCTCGGTAGCACCATCGTCCTAGCCTTCGAGGCACCCATGGGCACGCGGAAGTCCTTCGATGCCGGATGGGACGAAGGAAAGAGAGAGAAGGGCTGGAACTGGAGTATCGAAAAGGGCCAGACCATCAAGGTCGGCCAGAAACTCGGCTATGTGGACGTGCAAGACTAAGCAATCTTCCAGGTGGGAGGTTATTCTTTTTTTACCCTGTGTTACCATTTATCATACAAGAAGGAGTTGTGAACACGACTTTCAACAAGATTGTGTGGATAAGGCCTGGATAGCTCTCCCACATTTTCTCTGCAAAGGTCTATTCTAATTTCTGGGGATCTCTTTTTTTTTCTGTTTCTTTTTTCTGTCGATATTCTGTTGGTTTTCTGGAGCTATGTACCATAAGCAAGCATACTACTTAAGCATGCCACCTCACGCACAGTATAGATTATATCCATAATTGGCTCGACGAGTCTCGGAATTAGGTGCTTTCTGGCTAAAACAGAATTTAATACCACTTTATCTGTTTGGATAACTGTAAATTCCCACCTTTAGTGTATAACCATCCCAGTCACAGCAATCCGACTTGCACGTGATAACGCGGGCGACAATGAGCTCTGACGCGACAAAGCAGAAGCTCCAAGACTTTCCTTCAACAAACACATGAATTCCAATCCACCAAAATGAACCGACAATAATACCTTCCCCTTCAACAAAACTAACTACACCCCTTAACTCAAACAATCAAATCGAACCAAATCCCCAACCACAATGCCCCGCCATCCTCACCAGCAGCAACAACAACCACAACAACCCTACCCACACCTCCTCCGCCGGCACCCCGCCCAAGAAACACCATCAACAACCACGCCCCCTCCCCTTCCAGGACAAGGACTAGGACCAGGATCCCGCCCTACAGCTCCCCCGCGTCCTCGCCCACAACCTCAACCATCGACAGCCGCCGCCGCCGCCGCCGCAGTCGCAGCAGCAGACCCGCACCTCCTCAACGCCGCGGCGGCAGCCTCGAACGCGCAATCGCGCTCCCGCGCCGCCCAGTTCCAGACTCCTCCTTCGCGCACCATTCCGCAGCTTCATCCGTCCTCGGGGCCCCTTGAGCCGGCCGATACGGTACATCCGGCGCAGGCGGCGCAGGCGGCGATCTTTTCGTTATTTGGGAGGGGCGTGCATGGGAGACCGCAGAGGTATGGACATCAGTATCAAGGTCAACAGCAACAACCACAGCAACTTTCGCACCGAGATGCGCAGGGGCTAGGAGGGGGGTTAGGACAGAGACGGAGGGCGAGGGGCATGGGGATGGGGATGGGGTATACACAAGGGGATGAGCAGGAGGTGGAGGATGGTTCCGGTGAGGAATCTCGAGGAGAAGAGGAAGAGGATGGGGATGAGTATGAGGAGGTTGGGGATGAGGAGGAGGAGACGAGCTTTGCGGACCATCACCATCCCCATCCATTGGGTAGACGGCGGGGGTTTACGGATCGAAGTCGCATTACGGTGGATCCGGAGGGGAATGAGATTGAGATGTCGGATGAGGATATGGATGGTATGGTGGACGATGAGTTGGAGGAGGTCGAGGATGAGGAGGATGAGGAGATTGTGGATGAAGATATTGACGAGGATGAGATGATGCAGGATCGAGGTTCGCTTTCCCTTACTTCCCCTAGTATTTCCTTTGGAATTGGTTTGCTCTGGTCCTGGGCAAAGTCTTGAGGCCAGAGCAATAGCAAGAGAGTAAAGTCCAACTAACTAATGGCCACTATAGAACGCTCCCCCTCCCCCCTCCCCGCCAACCTCCGCGAGATATCCTCCCTCGCCTCGTGGACCGTCTCGACGCACAAACCGGGCTGCGGCGTCGCCGCCCTCCGCAGCCCCTCGCCAACCCAGTACTGGCAGTCCGACGGGCCGCAGCCACACACGCTGACGCTGCATTTCTTCAAGCTCGTCGCTGTGGTCAAGATCCGCGTGTACCTGGACTGCGAGATGGACGAGAGCTACACGCCGACGAAGATGACTTTCCTCGCCGGGATGGGCGGCAACGACGTCGTGGAGTTCGCGACCTGGGAAGGCGAAGGACCGTGCGGCTGGGTCGACGTACCGCTAGAAGGCGTCGGCGGACGGGATGGCGGCTGGGTGCGCAAGAAGCGAAGACGGCGCGTGCGAAAGGGCGAGAAGAAGAAGAACAGCACCAGCACGAAGCAAGGATCCAGCACGATCCGGAACGACTACGTCGAGGACGAAGACGAAGGCGAGGGCGACGAGACGGCCGAAGAGGAAGACGATGAGGATGATCCGTACGCGGGCAACGTGCTCAAAGCCATGGTCATTCAGATGCGCGTTATTGAGAATCATCAGAACGGCAAGGATACTCATGTGCGTGGGTTCCAGGTGTTTGCGCGCGATGACGAGCGTAGGCGCATGGGTAACGCGCCATCCGCGTCGGCGGATGGTCGAGTGCGCAGGCACAGTGCGCGCAAGTCGTTACGGGCGAGCACGAATGACGAGGGCGCGGAGGCGCGCGAGGCAGCTGGGGATCTGGACCGAGGGAAGGTGGTCGGGCTCGAGGCGCCGGATTGGATGGGAGAACCGGTGATTCGATAGAAAGCACTTGCATGGTGTGGGTGTGTGGTCTCGTTGAAACCATTGTTGACACGATTATTTTATCGATTATGCGTTAATGCCCTGGGAGGAGAGGTATCTGCAGGCTTCGTGTGCTGGACATGGACATGAACGTGAATATGGATATGGATATGGATATGATTATGGCTCCACGAAGGGAAGGAGCATCAAAATTGTCCGGGCGATGCTGATATTCGGAGTTATCGGTTCTGTAGAATGATACCCATGATCCTGGTCAGGATCATCGACTAGACTTTATCCCAATGAATCATACATACCTAATTATCAATCAACCAATGGTTTTCACATAACATTGCGTTCACAACACCGCACACCGAACACAGAAGAATAAGAATAAAAATGAGTTCAAATCTATTATAAACTTGGCTAAGACTATTTATTTCATAAACACCTTGATATCGTACTTTTTTCGTCCTTTCTCCGGCTTTTTCTCTTTACAGAATCTTCTCCAACTCAGCAGCAACTGCATCACCGACCTCGCTGGTGGTCGACTTGCCACCGATATCACCCGTTCGCACACCGGCCTCGATGACGTTGCTGACGGCCGCCTCGATGGCGCGGGCCTCGGCGAGGAGACCGAACGAGTACTGGAACATCAGGGAGACGGAGAGGATGGCAGCGACGGGGTTGACGATGCCCTTGCCGGCGATGTCGGGGGCGGAGCCTGTTTGGAATCGTTAATTATTGACCACATAGCGCGGACGCAATCCAAGGCGAATAAGGAAAGAAAGGGGGGTGGGAAAGATGAAGATACATACCGTGAATGGGCTCATAGATACCGTTCACCTTGCTCTTGCCGTCGGGAATACCGCTGACACTGGCACTAGGGAGCAGACCGAGGGAGCCGGGGATAACGCTAGCCTCGTCGGAGATGATATCACCGAACAGGTTGCTGGTGACGATGATACCGTTGAGTTTGCGAGGATCCTTGACCATGATCATGGCGGCGGAGTCGATGAGCTGGTGCTCGATCTTGAGCTGGGGGAACTCGTTGGCCATGACCTCGGTGACGACCTTGCGCCACAGTCGGCTGGTGGCCAGGACGTTGGCCTTGTCCAAGCTCCATACGGGGAGAGGCGGGTCGTGCTGCAGGGCCAGGTGCGCGGCCAGGCGGATGATGCGCTCGATCTCGGGGCGCGAGTAGGGTTCCGTGTCCAGGGCGAAGCCGCTGCCGTCGTCTTCCTTGCGCTCGCCAAAGTAGATGCCGCCGGTCAGTTCGCGGATGATGTTGAAGTCGACGCCGCGGCAGATGTCGGCGCGCAGGGGCGAGCTCTCGACCAGCGAGGGCGCGGCGAAGTTGCAGGGACGCAGGTTGCCGAAGGTCTGCATTTCCTTGCGCAGCTTGAGGATTCCTTGTTCAGGGCGGACGGCACCGGTTCCCCATTTCTAACACTTTCCTGTTAGTTCGTGTGTTGTGGGTTTCGATAGAGCGGCAGGGTTCGAGGATGTTGTCCCACGTACCGGGCCACCAATGGCTCCCAGGAGGACGGCATCGGCATTCTTGGCGGCGTTAAGAGCTTCGTCGGTCAGAGGGGATCCGGTAGCATCGATGGAGGCCTAAGATCGCACAGGTTAGTATGAATTGTCTTCTATGTGTGTAGACTAAACAATGGACACATACACCACCCAGGAGGTGATCCTGGAGATTGAACTTGACATCACGCTTCTTTTCCACAGCTCGGAGAACCTATACCCATAAGTTTCTGCCAGAGTAATACCATTGAAGCTCCGTGCGAAGACTACACACCTTGATGGCTTCCGCGGTGACCTGTGCGCCAGCGATTAGCATTTCGATAACCCGTCAGCTCCTATCGTTACTCACCTCGGGACCGCAGTGGTCTCCGCCAAAGACGACAATGTTGTAGGTAGACATGGTGAGGGGGATTCAATGTATGGGGATATGGAAGAAAAAGCTAAGAGCGAGAGAGAGACAGCTCTGTTATAAATGGCAGCGCTGGATGAATGGCGGGGGGGACTCTGCTCTGCCCCCCGCGCCGACACCGGAGCCGCTGGAAGCGCCCGCCGTTAACCGCCCCGATGGCTCTTAGTCAGCGCCGATGGCGACGCTCCGAGTGGAGAGAAACAGCTGCACAGTCATGTCATCACAGTCTAGATAGTAGTAGGGAGGTAGGGAGATGCTATGAGGTGATGACCTCGAGTATTGAATTGCTCTGCAAAATAGGAACCGCTGTCCACAATCATAGCTACACGGAATCCATTAAAAATTGTTAAGAATAAGACGCGAACACAACTAAATAGACAGGAAGAAAGAGAACAGGGCAGAAGGAAAACAAGAGGAAAAGAGAAAAAGAAAGAAAAGCGATTAGTAATAACAACGATCGAAGCTGAGGGCCATTCATTTATATCCGTCCATGATGGTCTGGTTGGCAGGCAGACCGACAGATCCACGATTTCCCTTTAATTGACACCCTTGCAAACAAATTCAAGAACGAGGAAGAAAAGAAAAGAAAGGAAAGGGACGAAACCTCCCCCAGTCCCAAAGAATGAACCAAAGCACCAGAGCCATGCACAGGAATAATGAAACGGTCAAAAATGGGCGCAGAATAGAAAAAAGAAGGATCAGGCCGACAGCGGGATCCCCAAGATTACGTGCTGCGGAAATATCGACAATAAGAAGAGGACGGGCAAAAGACCCAAGAAATTCATCCACGGTCAGCTAGTTGGCTCGTGGTCGTCCGTCATGTGGAACTCTAGTTCTTCTTTCCACGGAGTTGTTCCTTGCGCTTGGCCATGTCACCCTCGACCAGCCAGTTACTGGCCTTCACCATTTGCACCACGTTGATGATCTGCTTGAGCGCCATGACGGGTGCCGAGATTCCGGTGATGAGCCAGGGCCAGAAGCTGTCAATCTTGTTGGCCCGCGCCAACTCCAGCGCACCCGCACTCCATGGGCTCTCATACAGATTGGTCGGAGCGGTCTGGGCGGCGCTTTCGACGAGGGGCTTAAGGAGGGAAGGGGAGAGCGTAGGAGAGGAGAACGAGAGGAGGTAGAGACCGATGAAGAAAACTTCGTTGAGGGCGCAGCAGATGAACAGAACAGTCTGGCAAATTGTCAGTAAGGCGATGCCCCGCTACACGACGGGAGAGCTGTAACGCCGCCTACCTTGCTGTTGTAGTACCAGTACAAGATCCAGCTTCGGCTGGCCTCAACCTTCTTGTGACTCTGGCTCGAGCCACCCATGCTGAGGGTGGCGTACATGTGCATATAATGACTCGCCATATCCAGCGCAATCAAGCTCTGGAAGATGATGGCCCACCGGGGCCAGGCGGAGCTCAAGAAAACCAAAAGACACGCGGTGGTGCAGCGATCCGTCACCATGTCGAGCACGGCACCGAAGGTGGTAGACTGGTTGAAGTACCGCGCCGCATATCCATCCAAGGCGTCCAGCAAACACGATACGCTGTATAGGAGGGAGCAAGTTCGAGGGTGGAAAGGCATATAGTAAAGGGAGGCGATGGTCAAAACAACCCGCAGATATCCTAAACCGGACCGGAAGGGTTAGCACTACGGCGAGACACGCTGTCACCAGGCTGAGTAGATGAGACGGGATTTCATACCGATCAGGTTCGGAGCGAACAGGTATACATTCTCCTTGACTTCCTTCTCAGCGGAAGCCGACTTGCTTCTCTTCGGTGATTTCTGTGCCGTGCCATTGCTGACGGGTGTCTCGTTCTCATCGGACTGCGCGGCCAAGGCGGCTTTTTGTCTCCGTGTTCTGGCGCTCATATTGATTCTCGCAAGGCACACGCAAGAAGGAAAAGGAATGTAAGAAGGTCGGAAATGAACGGAGTTGCTTCGAGGACAGAGTTTCACGGATGTACTGAGTAGTTGTTTAAGGGATAGCGGAGGGAGGTATTATCCGAAAGGATCCACGGCGAGCGGCGGGTCAAGCAGTTCAAGATGTACGCAAACACCGTTCAGCTTATCCCCGATAGTATACGGAGTACTCGATCGAGCTGGCAAGAAAGAAGAATTATCAGTAATTTGCATCCCACCCGTACTCAAATTGAGCTGGCAAATATCCGGCAGGAGGGTGCTGGCGTGATGGTGCGGTGGTGAGATCTCTCCTGACCAAGCTTTTTTTTTTCTCTCCAAAACACGTACCGATTCCTAGTGGCTAGAAAAATCCACGACGCGCCTCTTCCGGAGGGGGGCGAAGACCAGGTAATTCAGCACTCGGACCGGGCAGAACAAAATCGAGGGTGGAAATGCCACGAAATCTGTCAAGGCAGGGAGTCAGCCTTCGATGATTTGGCCGTTTCTGGCGATAAGGAGGTTTGATAAGGCAGAACTCACGAGCGGACGATCGAGGAGATCGGGCGATGCAAGAGAAGGTCACTTAACGTAATCAACCACCGAGCCGCCACCTCATCGCATTTTGTCCTAGTCAAAATACTCACTCAAGTCAACCATCCACCATGCCTCCAAAAGCGCGTCAAAATTCAAGAAATTCAACTGAGGAGGAGGGAAGAATTCTATTAGCAATCTCTGCTATAGAAAAGAAACAAATTACACAGGTTGCTAAAGCTGCGCGCGTATACAATGAACCTCGTTCAACTTTACGCGACAGACTACACGGCAGCAATTATCGCAAAGAGTTACGCGCAAATAGCCATAAAATGACTCAAAATGAAGAAGAATCGCTTGTACAATGGATCTTATCATTGGATCGACGTAGAGCAGCTCCTCGACCGTCTCATATACGAGAAATGGCCAATATTCTACTTGCTCAGCGCGATGCTATATCTATTCAATCAGTTGGAGAGAACTGGGTATATAAGTTTATCAAACGACGTGATGAACTTAAAACACGCTTTTTTTGACGATATAAGTATCAGCGTGCTAAATGCGAAGACCCTAAGATTATTAGGGAGTGGTTTGATCGTATAAAAATCACTATAATGCAGTATGCTATCGCACTGGAAGATGTCTACAACTTCGATGAAACCGGCTTCGCTATGGGGCTAGTAGCTACTGCTAAAGTAGTTACTAGAGCTGAGATGTCTGGGAAGCCCTTTCTTGTACAGCCAGGCAATCGGGAATGGGTTACCTCTATCGAATGTATCAACTCTACTGGATGGGCGCTTCCTCCATGTATTATTGTCAAAGGAAAGGTCCATATAGAGGGCTGGTATCAAGATGAGGCCTTACCACGCGACTGGAGGATTGAAGTCAGTAGTAATGGATGGACTACTGATGAGATTGGGCTTCGTTGGCTTCAAAATCTCTTTATTCCTGCTACTACTGGCCGTACGACTGGGAGATATCGCTTGCTTATTCTTGATGGCCATGGCAGCCATCTTACGCCTCAATTCGACCAGATATGCAGTGAGAATGATATTATTCCTATCTGCATGCCTGCTCATTCATCACATCTCTTACAGCCTTTGGATGTTGGCTGCTTTTCGCCTCTAAAGCGCGCGTACGGACGTTTAGTGGAAAACAAAATGCGCTTAGGATTCAACCATATTGATAAGCTTGACTTTCTCGAAGCTTATCCTCAAGCGCGTGCAGAGATCTATACTACTAGTAATATTAGTAGTGGATTCTCTGCAACTGGTCTAATTCCTTTTAATCCGGAGAGGGTACTCAGTCAGTTGAATATTCAACTTAAGACCCCTACACCACCCGGCAGTCGATCAACTAATTCAGCACCTAAAACACCCTATACTACTAGGCAGCTAGAGAAGCAGGCATCCACAGTGAAAAAGCTGCTTAAAGCGCGTGCGCAGAGCCCTTCATCTTCGCTAGAAACGCGATTAGACAAGCTTATTAAAGGTCATGAATTGCATCTTAATGAGCTTATTCTAGCACGGAAAGAAATAGGCGATTTACGCGCTTCTAATGAGAAGCAGCGTCGAAAGCGAAAGCGCTCTACTAGACAGCTAGCTACTACAGAGGGTATGACTATTCAGGAAGGCTCAGAGCGATTCCAGCGTGAGAATGAGGTTCATGAAGCTCAGGATACTATCTCTATAGATCCAGCGCTTTCTGCAGTTGGGCCACGCGTACGAGCTCCACCACAATGTTCTGATTGCAATACTTTGGGACATAAAAGGACTAGTTGTCCTAATCGCAATAGTAATTAGTTTTTATATAGAAATACAATTGTTTTGTTGACAAAAGCCATAATCTATCTCCAGGTGTGGAAATTCGAGCAAAAGTGGCGGCTCGGTGGTGGATTACGTTAACTAATGATTCTAGTCCTGACTAAACTAAATAGGAGGCGCAACGTGGGGATCAGATTGAGAGATTTTTGATTAATCCCAATCATTCCGTTTTTAATCTTAATTCGGGACAGTCGGAAAGGAGTCGGAAAGGAGTCGGAAAGGGAGGAAGCAGAAGAAGAAATGGAAGTTCGGAGAGCTAGCCTCGTGTTGGTGCTGGTGCAGGTACTTTCCTTTTCCGTCGTGTTGGATCTGCCCCCGACATTGAATGCAGCTCTTCATCTCAACCAGGAACCTACACCGTAGTGTTAATTACCTCATATGAAACAGAAGAAAATTATTGGAATCAACTGCGCACGTCGGGCTGTGTCTCTGTATGTACAAATACCCTCCACTGAAGGTAGTTATAGTGATACCCAGGAATATCATCTTATTATATACAATATGTCATAACCACAAAAAAAGAACAAAACAAGGATATAATTATCTCAAGAGAGTGGCAGAGTCAAATGAGCCCGTATTTCTTTTCTTTCCTCTCCTCCAAACAAACATCATATTTTTATTTTTTTATTTTTATTTTTTTCACTACCTCCGTGACCTGCGCGGATCGGTGGCTTCTTGTCGGCGCCAATCTCGAGTCTCTTTCGTTCCCAAACTGCCCAAAGCCCCTTCGAGTCGTCGCTCCCAACCACCGAGGCGCACGACAAGACAGGTGGCGTTGTCTCCTTCTCTCGTCACCTCGGTCGCAAACCGAACCACATCTCGAGATCCTTCGTCGGGAGTTTTGGCTTCCTTTACGATGTCGACGATCTCTTGGTCCGAGAGTGTACCGCTGATGCCGTCGGTCATGAGGACCAAGAACGAAAATTCCGCAGGCGCCATCTCAACCCGTCGAAGCTCCGGCTCGGCCGACACTCCGATCCGCTTGGATTGAACGTCACCGAATGCGCGGGTGTTGGCCAGCCCGCTCATGCGCTCCTCGCCGAACGAGTCGGTGACAAATGTGGTGGCATAACGCCGGAGTCGATTGGCCTCGATCGGCGAGGAAGGGTGGTGGTTGGAGGTCAGGGGGATCGCCTCGCCAGTTTCCGTAGAGCAGAGCAAGATGCGAGTGTCGCCCACATGCGATACGAGCAGGCTAGAAGGGGTCGACGGATGCCAGAACGGCATGGGTGTGGGTGTAGAAATGAGGGCAACACTGGCCGTACTACCGCCCTTGAATCGCGAACCGCCGCCAAAGGCCAACGATTGCGCGGGGTGACGCGGACCGTATAAGATGTTATCCTGATACAGGGGCTGTCCGACATGTTCCAACTCGTCGTCATTCCGCGCAGCCTGCGCCGACACGAAGTCCAGATCCGCACGCAAAAAGGCATACTCTAGCACCTCTTCAATGGTGGCTCCCGTATCTTCGTTGGAATCCACCTGTGCGTTGGAGCCAATGTGCGAAAAGTAGGCCGGGACAAATCTTTTGAAGTATCCCCCAACTAGAGTCTTCCAGTCGCGCATCAATTTCTTCTCGAGTTCGCCAATCCGTTTGGAATTGCCCCCCTGCATGATAGGCAGGTTCCCGGTCGACGGCTCAGCATCTTCAAGGTAATGACCCTCCTGGTTTTTCCGCAAACTCGATCGCAACTCGAATGCGGCGACCGTGTCCTGGATATACTCATGTAGTTTATCCTTCAAGAACGTACTACACTCCGACCCGCCGTGGCCGTCGAAGACCCCGAAGTAGAAGACCTGCGGATCCCCGCTAGCCGTCGCTGCTCCCTGGTTCTCGCGCGGTGGGGGCGGCGAATTGTCCTTATCCGACCGTCTGATGGTCAACGAAGCTGGGGGACGTTTCGCGAACGCAGGCATATCGATCACGCCCGCTTGGTGAGTGTCTTCATTGGTCGGTCGAGTACCTCGCAGGGTGGAGGCGCCATAGTGATGTTTTGCGCTGCGAAGGGGAATGCGGACAACGGTGGTATCTCGATCGACCAGGGCTTGAAACGTCGTGGGCGAACGCGACGTCTCCCCGGAATGCGGCACGGATGCAGAGCGAGGGAGTTTGTGAAAGGAGGACAGCGGGCCTCTCGGGTCCGGATGGAGTGAGGACGAGGGCAGGCGTGTCACAAAGTAATCGTGGAAATCCCGTCGTCTGGAGAAACGGGCGTCGGTGAACTTCACATGATTGGATATATGGCGACGTTTCAACAATCCAATGGAGACTGCAAGTATTAGAAATGAAGTCAGCGACAGCCGTCAGGGCACGGGCTTCATGAAGTCGATACGGAAGCCTCGGAGATAAGAAGAGACATACAGGAATAGTTGGTCAGCGTCCGGGAGTGGACAGTGACCCGCTTTGCAGGAATCAGATTCATGAATGTCGAGGCATTGAAAGGTAGTCGGGCTTGAAAAGGAGAAAGGGCATCAAAAGGGGGGAAGATCAGAGAGCCAGGGATAGGCCCATAGTGAGTGAGGGCGAAAAAGAAAGAATGGAAGGAATGGAAAGAATTCTAAGAATCGAAGAGACCAGCGGGGGGGGCGATGGGGATTGCGGCCCGAGCGTATTGCGACGGAGGAGCAGCGCGGCAGTTCTTTAGTTCTTCATTAGATGAACTGTAAAAGTAGAATGAAGTAATGGGATCCAGAATCTGTGCCTGATCTAGCTAGCAACGCCACTTGTCCACCTGGAAGATTCCATAAACTACACCGTATAGTCTTGCATATGTAGGTCTGTACGTAAGTCGATGCTAAGAATAAATCCTTCCTCAATCCCTGTCACCCTGCGCCTTCTGGGTCGCTGACTCAGCCTGCGCAATTGTTGGGATTTATTAGTTACCAGAAGGGAAAAAATAAGATAAAATTGATTGTTTGAATCCCACAGCTGCCTCTCTTCATATATCTATAATTATGTTGAGGACCACGGTGGAGGAGGGATTCTGACTCCGTAAACACCCAGTACGGGGAAGGGATTATTCAACTTATCCATGAGATTTATGTATATCCTTCCCCTTCGTTAGGTATCACTGTAGTCTGTACCAAATGTAGTATGAGATTTTTAGAAGGTTTTTTTTTTTTTTTTTTTTTTTCGCGATTCTTCCCTATAAGTCTTTCTACCTTTACTCAGGTCTCCATACTAGAAACAACAAAATTATATTCTCTTGGAAATTTCTACCTACATGAGAACGGACCGTCTATAGATAGTCTGTATATATGCCCAGCGAAGCAGGCAAGCAGTATAGGGTCTGATATCGACCGATCAAGACCCAGCGGCGTGCTGAGGCAGATAGTCTAAAAATTAATACTTGCTGAATACAGAGTTTAATTCTTTTGGCAATCTCCGTTGTCGCAAGAAAGTGACCCATATAGGAAGTCTATATGGCTTTATGGACACAGCAGTATGTTGGCGCTTGGATGTTTGAGATAAAGATCGGCAACACCGTGGAAGACCTCGAATCTTCATATATCAATCAGTATTTATCAAGGCATCCGTCCATTCATTCCATTGTATATGATCACTGCGGTGCCACAGTCCCAGTAGAACGTCAACAATTTCCTGGTCCAGTCCTGGCACCGTCGATTTTGTCGAAATTCCCTGGCCTAGGTATTGGAAACCACTGAAAGGCAACGGTCCTGCTTATCTTGATGAAGATGTCTTAGTAGTGAATATCTTTTGTGTTTCTACCATCTAGCTGCTTTCAACACCGACCCAATTCACTTGATCTCTCTCGTCTGCATCATTCGCTTTCCACAGTAATACTTCTATCGAATTTACTCATTTTAATGGCTTGTACTTTGCTTTCTCGATGCTCTAGACAGTAATGTCTCTGAGACTAGTCTCTATCATCACCTTTGAAACTTTGTCAGAATTCAACCTGTGAAACACAGTCAGTCTTGACCTCTGCTTATCCCATATTATTAAAAGAGCTCTGACACCTCGAAATCCTGAGATGACGATAGGCAATTCCCCAATGCAGGGATCTCCTCCTTCTGTGTCTAGTGTTCAGGCCCAGGCCGATAACTGCAAGATTACTCGTACTCAACCTGACGATAGCAAAGCCCCTTGCAATGGAGACAATGCCAGTGAAATAATAAACGGACTCCAAGAGCAGATCGTTGAGCTAGAGAAGCTGGTGAAAAGACAGAAAAGAACCATCACAAATCAGAGCAGAGCGATCTCTGATCCCAGAGTTCATCGCCCCATGATGTATCCTTTGACACCTCAGCACCCGGGACCAAGCATGGTGGCTACTCCCTACCAGACTCCCCATTCGGGGTTCTCCCAATCCGAATACTCCTTGTGTGGACAGTCTGAGATTTCGCAGTCTTCGAGCATCTACGATCACCCTCCTCCGCCATTTGGCCCTCTCGTCAACAACTCAAGGTCGGCCCGTCTCGGTGCTGCACATCGGGACGCTCCTGCCACATCGGACCCGTTTGGACCGTCGGCTCAAGCTATGCTCAATGCTCCTTCCGTTACGGACCCTCGTGAAATGTGCAAGTGCCCACATATGTGTGAATTCTTTGATGCCGACGTTGCCATTTCAGAGCTTTCGACACGATTCCGTGATTTGTGGCACCATGTTGAAAACTGGGCTTATACCCATGCGAACATCCCATTGATTCGAAAGGACAGCAATCTAGAGCCACAGACCAAGGAGTATATCATGGCTCTGGCCGACCGATCCCAAGCGTCTGCTCTTCTCGGAGCCACATCCACTAGACACAGTCTTGTGGCCAAAGCAATCAATTTCTATCTCGTACACGAGATTTTCAAGGTCAACATCGCAAGAGCCTTCGATGCTGTTGCCTCTCAGGAAATCAGTGAGATTCAGCGACAACTTGCAGCCGGTAAGTCAAGTGAAGGGGACCAATCTCATCTCTGGGACCGTCCAATAAATAACTTGTCATCCACCAGCAGATACCACGTTTATTGTGCGCCAACTGGCCGTTTTGGCAATGATGGCTCGCACCAAGAACGTTCTGGAACTTCCAGGCTTTGGCGCCTTCTACGAGGCCAAATGCAACATGCACGTGGCTAAACTGTGGCAATACGCCGGGCCTCTGTCCCACGACCCCAGCGAGACATATAAACAGGCGTGGCAGGAGTTGAGTAACATTGTGGGCGAGGCGCAGCTGCTCGCTACCGATATGTACCTGGCACCATTCGAGTACAATTTCGAATTTCCGGGATTGAACGAGCCCTTCGATCCGACAACCATGATCAACCACGATATTTATATTCGGGGCAACCCTCAGGGACTGAAAAACAACGACTTCCGCGTGAGATTGGGCGTGACTCCGATTACCAGAATTCGCAACATTTCGGTCAGTCCTGCCGACGTCAAGTTAGTGTGCTGGGCAGGCGTGTTGTTGAGGTCTGCGCCAAAGGTTGAATAAGACAAGGCGTTGTTCAATTGTTCTCTGTCATTCTGGTTGTCGTGAGTTATCGTAATGAACGGGGGTCGGTTGTGGCGACAAGACGTACTGGCATTTTTGTTTGATTGTTTGCTAGTATTTATCTCTCAATCAATTCGATCTTATTCTTTTGATCCATTCTATCTTTGATCGACAATAATACAAAATCCCAACAGTTGCGCAGCCTGTGTGTGTGTGTGTGTGTGTGTGTGTGTGTGTGTGTGTGTGTGTGTATTATCCTCTATTTTCACGGCTTCCTCGGAGCTCGAAAGGTTAACATTTGCTTAGCTACTGAGATAACGAGCAAAGTGCAGTTCGTGTTATTTAGAAATATTCATTTGTGCTAAAACAATGTACAAATCCCTATAGACATATCATTTCACGCCAAGCTTTTGAGCGTGTAGTAATCACAAGGTGAAAGAGCAAGACGTCAAAGAATAGCACCTACCAGGGGCAGTGGCACCAAGTGCTCCAAGCAGCATGGCACAGCCGAGTGCAAGGGGCTCAAGATGAGACGGGCGAATTCTGACGTTGCCAGTTTGCACCTGGTAATAGAAGTATTAGATGTAAAAGAATACCTACCACGGTGTAAGTATTGGCAGGCGCGGTGGTCAGCAAATCGAACACTAGATTGCCTTCGTGCGAGAGAACAAGCTGCTGTAAACAGCGTCGACGACGGGTTGGGCAGTGATCTGTCTACCACCGAAGAATCGTCCGTTCAGGCCTTTGATGGCGTTTTCTCCGCCCTGGACTCGGTCGAATTTGAGATAGATATCGCCCTGCGAGTTGGGATCTAGTGCAATGTGAACAACATGGCCATATTTTTCTTCGCACTCAGCGCGAACGTCATCCTCCAATTCTTTAATCCAGACTTCGCCCTCCTCCCTGCAAGAGTTGTTAGAATGACATGCGCTGACGAAGGGTATGCAAGAAAACTTACTCAGTGGGATCAAACATGTTGCGGAGTAGCACGCAGCGACTCGCCATGTTAACATTAACGGGCAGGGGTTTGGTTTCTGTCTTAGGCCGAAGGATTTTCTGTTTGTCGTCTGCGGATGGCTCCGAAGGTTCATCTGTTCTTGCAAGTTTCCTCATCAATGCGTCCCTACTGTAGTTGTTGAAGTTCACACCGGCAACATCTGTGTCATCAAGCGCACTAGCGCCAGCTCCCTTTTCAGAATCGCGGCCACCCGCACGGTCGAAGTTGTTAGTGCCACCGGCTTGTACACCACGGCCACCCTGGCCGGAAAATGAAGATCCCTGGAAAGACTGAGGGTTTGCACCTTGGCTCTGCAAGCGTTGCGCGGTTGACTCGGGGGTGAACTTATCGTTGCCAAGGCCAACGCGGATAGCTCGACCGGCAAGGTCAAAACCATTCATCTTTTCCAATGCTTCTCGAGCTTGGTTAGGATCACGGAATCTAAGATAATGGTTAGTCATGGGAGTCATATTATATGTTTTTGTTTTCATCGTGGTGTACTTACTGCACGAAACCATATCCCCGACTTCTCCCAGTCTCATCCTTCTGCAACTGAACAAATTCAAGTTCGCCAAAAGGCTCAAAAACATTCTGGAGGTCACTTTCAGTGATACTGAAATGAATGTTACCCACATACAACCTGTGAAAGGGTGCCGCGTGATTTTGGCTGGTGCTGGCCTCGGGGTTGCGGGCCTGGCGGTTCTTTTCAGCCTCAGTCAATTGTGCGATGATAGGGATTCCTAGAAGCTTTTGTCCGGTAAGCTGAATAGCAGGTGCGACGGATTCCTCTTGTTTAAATTCAACATAGCCGACACTATGGCGATGTTAGTGGATGCTTGGACAAGGGCTGAGAATAGGGGGGAGAGAAAACCACTTACCCCTTAGATCTACCGCTGACACGGTCCTTGACAATCTGGGCTTCCTTAACAGGTCCAACTTTCTCGAAGAAAGCAATCAATTCTTTCGTTCTCAATCGCGCGGCGAGTTGCTGCACGAAGATAGTGCGTCTATCGCGTTCATCTTCATTTAGCTCAGGGGTTCTCTCTCGGCTCTTGGTAGGGCTACGTCTGCGAGTATCACGTTCACGGCGAGAGCGACGGTCATCGTCCCGTTCATCACGGCGCGAACGACCGCCGGAGGGTCGGTAATAACGGTCATCATAGGGGGATCGAGATCGAGTACGGGCCCGGCCACCTCCACGGTAGAAGTCGCCGCCGGAACGGTGGTCATCGCCATGACGGTCACGACGAGCCCGACGGCGGTCGCTATCGCGGCTCCTGCTCCTCTTTCTGCTTCTATGGCTTCCGTTAGCACTGCCACATTCGCTCCTCGGGCTCTTCATGTCTTCATGTCCATCGGCATCTCGTTCGCGGCGGCGATCCCGGCTGTGATCCCGGCGTTTGCGATCTTTCTCGCGCGATCGATCACGGTCACGTCGGTCACTGCTGTCGGCCTTGGAGTTGTCATCCTGGTCTTGAGAGTGGGGCGTATCCTGAGTGGGAGCAGCGGTGGATTCGAGGAGAGCTTCAACGTCGAGACCGGACATGTTGATGATAGATGGATGTATCTGTCTAGTCCTGGAAAAACACAGGATAGGAGTGGGAAGAAGATCGCGTGGAAAGGATTTGTGTCACTTTGGCTTCGTTAGACTGGTGCGACTGTGACTGAGTCGTTGCTTGAGCGAACCCTTCTTGTTGTTTATATTCTAACCCTTTCGAACAATTTATTGAATTCGAAATGGTGAGAGGTATGACTGAAGTATGGTTGAAGTAGGAGGTCAGGAGGTAGGTATGGTAGATAGAGTGGTCGTGAGAGAAGCAATGGCAAAGATGGCCCCCATCCTCGTCGGAAGTGAAAAGAGTCGAAATCACGTGCCTCTTGGCATTTGCCTCTTTGCCGTCGAACCATGGAACCACGTAACTACCAGGCATGGGGTTTGAGGTCGTACGAATTCGAGTGACATGGTATATCTTCTTCAAAAGAGCATTCAATAATTATGTATTAGTTCTGATAGTCATATACAGTCATGTAAATACTAATTCTCAAGGTCAACACAGCCACCGAGATACTCCAAGTGCTGAATACGCAAAGCGTTGTAACACTATCAGTGACCCCACGAATAATAAGTGCTGTACATCAGGTAAAGTGTCAACCCTAGAGATAACGCCTTCGAGCCCCCCAGCAACGGCCAAGGAGAATTGAGCCAACAAGACCCCAAAATTACATCATATAAAATTACAGAGCGGTGAAAGGGGAACGAAGGGGAGAAGAGTTAAAGGAGAGGGAGAACGTAAAGGGACAAGGAGCTTTAGAGACTGCCATCCCTATTTACTGAGCCTTCGCCCCTTTGGGAGATGGCATCTCAAGCTCAGTGCCAAAGACACGATCCCAAAAGCGACTCGTGACACCAAACCCATTGTCGAAGTCAGCAAAGTGATGCTGAAGGTGGTACTTCTTCAATTGCTTGTAGTAGAGAGGAAGGCTGGGAGGAAAGGACATTAGCTATATAATTCTAGCTGTGGGCACGGTTCAAAACTTACTTGCGATGGTGGAGGAAGTAGTGGGTCAGGTCATAGCAAATGTAGCCGAACACGCCGCCGCAAAAGACGGTAAGAGCGGCATACCAGTTGTAGAAAAAGACGCTATGTGCCAGTTTCCAGAACGGAGTGGCCAGAACAACAAACAGGGTCGGTGGCATCACGAGTCTATACTTGTCCATGGGGACGTAATGGTGGATTCCGTGTAGTAAGAAGTGAAGAGTGATCCCGACACGATTATCGGGCAGGTACCTGGCGATGGTTAGACATGCTTAGGCATTGGAGGTCAGGCGAATATCATACTTGTCAACGTGAAACAGGAATCGGTGCATAATGTACTCGATCAACGTCCAAAGGAAGAGACCACCCATCCAGTAGGCAACACCCGCAGGCACGTTGCCCAATCCAGCGAGACCGAGAACGGTTCCGTAGGTGACAGGAGGGAGCCAAATTATTGGAACCATATACCAAGGAGTTATACTGAGAGGCTCAAGGAAGTTGCCAAACAAGGGAGCCGATGCGCCGCCCTTGTAGTGACGTGGACGATGAACTTGTTCTAGGTAGAATTCTTTGCTAAACCCGCTGTTCCAAAGTTGAAGCAGCAGTGGCTTGTTCAGATCCAGGAACTTGTGAGTCTGGTAATCTTTGGCGAAATCCGTGTCGATGGACAAATCCTCCTCGCGGGACATGCCAGTAGTGGCAAAGACATGCTCCGAAGTGTCTGCGGTTCCATTCGCGGAGGTGGATGTTCCGTTGGCAGAGGCAACGAAGCCAACCAAGCTATCCTCGAGGATCTCGTAGGCCGCCTCGGAATGTTCGTGCGACACAGAATCACGCAGGATTTCCTTCACGTCCTTGCCGGCGTATTCTAAGATCAAATCGCCGCCCCCGGGATGGTCATCCACAAATGAGGTGACATCGTAGACCCTGGAGCCCACAGTCACATAGCAGGACTTGGATGTGTTATGGGACTCGACCTCGGCGGGAGTAAACGTAGGTAGGGTCTTTCCAGACATGATGACTGCGAGATAAGACCGGGGAACAGGTACCGGTTTGTCCTAGGACGTCGCAAGAAGCGGATAACGAGAGGACAAATACGTGGAACGTAGTTGGACGGATCAGGCTCAGGGAAACGTAATAAATGGGTGAGCGAAGAGTGGCGTGAGCTGCGAACACCAGGGCCAGCGGGTCCGAAGGCTCCGAAAGGGAAATTTCTTTGGCAAAGGGAGAGCCGTCGGCAGCTCGGACGGAGCGTCTCTGGCGATTCTGATCAGGCGACAAATCGATAGCGGTGTCCTTTCACTCGGATAACTCTCGCAGTCGACAACGGCGTATTGTTTTATGAAGCTTGTCTCTGGCGGTTGTCTCGAGATTGAGAAATCCTCAAAATCGCCGCGGAGGCCAACTGAGTGGCGCTAACCCGTTTGGGCCCATTGACCCCTGATTAGGTCATCCATCGGCTGTTG